ACTAATGTTTGAATAGGATTATGTTGCCGAAGCTCACAGCTAACTGCCTGACGTCTGCGATCTGTTTATCGCGACCGTTACTTACCACTGTAGCCAACTATTGAAAAACGGCGGAAGCAAAGTTGTACACCTTGTACTTAAATGGGTTGACTTAAAACAGTTTCGACTTTCATAAATGAAACTGGGCAGGCCACATTCAAAATACTTACCTCCCCAACTGCTGTAGTTCATCTGCTAACTCTGAAACCTGAAGCCAATAGACGACCAATCACTGAAGAAACAACATATGATTTCGAAAAGTTATGCAGCATGATTCTTTGAGCGCATCAAATTTACATTGACAAGTGGCCCACTAGGAAGAAGGAAATTTCAAAAGAAAACTATAAAAAGACAAAGTTACTAGAGGGATACAACAGCACATACTTCCTCGCATTATTAGGAAATGTTACGTAATACTGAAATATTGCAATTTCTTCGCTACTAATATTACGTGAAAACTTTCATTTCTAACAATATTAAGCATCATATACATTTGTTAGGAGTAGCAGATTGGTACTGTTTCAAAACGGGTCCTGAAATAGTGTTTTCTTCAGTTTCCCAAATTCACTTTTCATCACATGAGATCTTTCGTAATTAAATAAGAGATTCAAGTATTTGTCGGTTTATAGCTTTAAAGTAAAAGTTGGTTACATGTGGGGCATCTCATTATTCCCATTAGGTGTTATTTAGGACTTTCTGAAACCGTGTACCGCCCACTCTATCTTTTATTATGCAGCATACTGACTTTGAATACAGCTCAGATGAGTTTTTTTCTTTCCTTTTCCTTGTTTTTCCACAAACTGATAGCAATGGAAAATAATTACTGACATGTTCCAGTAGCCTGATTTCTTTGAATAAACTGTAAAAATGTGCAGTTCCACTGGCGGCTCTTTCTTTCTTTCTTTTTTTTCCCTCCCTTGGTGGAGATGGTTCAATGGTCAGTTAAATACGTTAAACTTATGTATGCATTGTGAGCATACTCTTTGGAGTCGGGTATACAGTATTTTAAAACGGTATATTCTACACTTTCATTTCAGTTGTTTAAAATACCTAACTAATAGGGCTACATCAACACGTATTTTCTCGCATTATTTGTAGAGTCTGCATAATTGTATAATACTACTAGGACCCGCATTTTTTTTCCAGAGTAGAAAATCGAACTGGTAACTGGAACAGGGTTAGCAAGCTATGCGCATATCCACAAATGTACCAGTATTAACAAAACAACCTTCTCGAAGTTTTAAAACTAGTGCTAAAATAGTAAGTACTTTCTCGCCCGTACTTTGACGCTAAATTATGCGAAAAGTTCTCAAATTGTAAAGAAGCATGTAAAAAAATTGTACATGACCTTACTTCAAAATCTATCTTTAAGGATTTCATTAACAGAAAAAATATATCTTTAATATCTTAATTGTATGAATACTCCGAAAACATTTTGAATTTTTGCAATTTTCAAAAAAAAAAAAAGAAAAAAAAAACAGGGCCTTCAAAGACCTACACTATTCTCTTAAACATCCAACAACAAACTGTAATAAAATACAATGAAACCTTTGTTTGAAAGTTTGTAAAATGTTGCAGGAACTCCATGTAAGTACCCCTCTAAAAGAAATTAAAATATGTTTGAAATTCAAGGCGACGCGACATCAGCCAAATCAATAAGAGTATATACGTTTTTGAGAAAAATCGGCGGAACGATTTAGTCGCTAGCGTTGTTCACAGACGGACGGGCAGATTCGGAAGGACAGACGTTTTGCCGTCAATCGATTTTTCGGAATCAAGGGTCCACAAAACACTTCTGGCTACAACACGTGATAAGAGGATTTGTTTCTAAATTTAGCAACTGCATTTATTCACTTGTTCGTTACCAGGGCCCTGTAATAGTTTTTCTGTTGAAAATGCGCCTTTTTTCGCGTAGCATTAAATAACTTTCTCTCTACTCCGTAGCGGAAAAGTAAAAATAAACAAGTGCAGCCGATATTTTAAAAAAATGCATTACATTGCTTAAAGATATAAATTACACAAATTGAATGCATGAAGGAAAACATCTCTCTTCAATACTGCTGTAAGAAGGCACCGAACAAATTTTAACTTTTGCAATTTTCGAAAATTCAGGTAGTTCAACGAAAATAAGACGTGCTATTTTTATAAGCGTACTTTGTTGTATTCAAGAAATATATAAAAAAAAAATGGTGCAATTTTTAAGAAAATTTTGGAAATGAGGCTTTATGGAAAGTACTCCTTAAAATCAAATATCCATTTCAAATTAGAACGCCCTCGAGATATGGGAATATCAATTTTGAAGAAAATTCATGATTCGTTTACCCGTCGAGGTGGATCGCCCTGACGGGGCTATGCAGATATCGCTCTCATGTGTTTTCTCTGTTTCATCATCTTGCTTTTCATTTCATGTCACATACATCCTTCTAGCAATCTCATATTGACTACAAAGATCAGAAATCCACCGACCACACTGGAACGCTGCACAAACACAGAATGGCTAATCGAGCACGTGAACACATAATATACCAAGAGAGCGAAAAGTCTTCCAACTCTCTTTGAATACTATTTATCTCCCAGGAGATACGATTCCAGTCTTTACACTGCTCTCTTGCGGAGACTTCAAAAATCTCTTGTGACGTTATGTCTCCGGAGAGAAGAACGCTCTCCTGAGAGTTTACAACTTGTGTCTCGGGAGAGCAAATTGCGGAGCCACGATTGTATGCGAAAAGAGCCGAGTCGCTTACAGCGAGTCGCATGGCGGGAAATTTCAAACTTAAATTTGAAACGACCACAAACCATATTTGATGGAAAACACTATTATTAAATCTTTTGAAATGGGCAAAAGAATAAAGTAATGAACATAAGAATTACAATAAATTAGCAGTATTAGTTATATTATTGTATGTTTTTTATAAATTGTTAGCATTTTCCTGAATTCATAAACGAAATATTAATATATGAATATTAATTAAATATTGACATGAATTATATAAATGTTAATATAATTAAATCTTTTCAAATTGGCAAAATAATAAAATCATAAATATAAGAATCACAATTAATTAGCAATATGAGTTATATTATTTTATGATATTATAAATTGTTATCATTTCCACACCACTTGATTGAAGTCATGAATATAAGAATCACAATTAATTAGCAGTATTAGTTATATTATTTTATGATTTTAAAATTGTTATCATTTCCACACCACTTGATTGAAGTAGATAACGTTTGGCGCATTTTTTTTAAAGTGGTGTCCGCAATTGGCCTATATCCACTGTGTAAAATACAAATAAATTACAGTATATTTGAGAGTGAATAATAATATAATAATTTCATAATCAATTCATATAATAATAAATTCATAAAAATTACATATATACGAACTATACATACTATTTACATATCGTTAATACAATAACATTTTAAGCCCTTAAAATTATTAATATACTTCGTAAAAATAATTCTTATTTTTAGACATTTTGTGTTTCATCATGTACGTTTTACTGATGCATTATTATATTACTATTTATTATCAAATATATTAATTTATTTGTTAATTAATTAACTTTAATTTATTTATTTATTTACATAGTGGATGTACGCCTATTGGAGATATCACTTTAAAACATCGCATCAAAGATTATCTACTTCAATCAAGTGATGTAGAAATGATAACAATTTATAAAAACATAAAACAATATACCCAATACAGCTATATTAACATTTATATAATTAATGTTAATATTTAATTAATATTAATATATTAATATTTTGTTTATAAATTCAGTTTTTCATCACATATGTTTTGTGGTCATAAGTCTATGTTTGAAATTTCCCGCCATGCGACTCGGTTGTCTTCGCATACAATCGTGGCTCCGCAATTTGCTCTCCTGAGACACAAGTAGAGTTTACACGTGTCTCCTAACTAGTTCCGGAAAGTTAGGAGAGAAAACTCTCTCCGTGTAAACGTGCCTTAAGAGATACAAATACAAGAAAGCATGTGCTGTTGTAGCACCACTAGTTTATGTCATGTTCAGAGGAAAGAAATCTTTGGACAGGATATTTTTTGTTTCTTCAAAACAATATTACATATTAAAGCATGTTAAAAAATAACACAACTTAATGTCCCATTCTCTAGTCTATATACTCTCTGGTCCCATTTCACAGAATCTTCAACATGATTTATATCAAGGCATGCTTTTTGGACTTGCAGTTTCACTTGTATACCAGCATTACAGGAGCACTGATACAACACAACTTAATAAAACTATTTTTTTTTCTTTCTGGCTGCTTCTTTTATGTAGGTCGTACACCTGTTTCTCCTCACACTTCAACCTGGGGATTCACTATATGTTGACTGCAGATCTCTCATCTTTTCTGCAGCCTTCCAGGGTTTCTCTTTCCTGATGGTATCATATCCCTGGCTATCTTCACCCATCTGTCACCACTCATTTGTGTGATATGGTTATTCCATTCTTTTTCCCTTGCTTTCACAAACTTGGTAATATCAGTTATTTTACAGTTTTCTTACATCCTGATTTCTTATCCTGTCACTCCTGGTCTTCCCTACTATTGAACGCAGTGTGTTCATTTTTACTGATTGGTAGAGTTGTTTTTTCTTCAAATCGGCTCCACAAGTTAAAATTGGTCTTATCATTGTCTTTTTGATTTTAACTCTACCTTCTATGCTAAGGTATTTATTTTTCCAAGTTACATCTTTTAAGTATCCTGACACGTGAGCATCTTTCACAAATAGTTCCCTTACTTCTTTGCATGTATGGCGATCACTGGAGATGTCCACTCCCAGGTATTGGAACTTCATCCCTTGCTCAATGACTTTGCATTCTATTACAAACATCTTACAGGCTCCTTGGATATTACCATCCATTTTTTTTCTGTTGAAACTATTATATTAAATAATTTCCCTGTTGTTATGAATTTATACCATAGTCTCCACAGATTATCTTCAGAGTCTGCTATAAGCACTGCGTCATCTGTGTAGCAGATTATGTTTACGTAGTTGTTTCCCATCATGTAGCCTTTCATTGTTTTTACGCCTATTAGTTTATCCATTATCAAGTTGAAGATTACTGGACTTCAGGAATAGCCCTGGCATATTCCATCTGCACATTCTATTTCATCTGTAGTTAGGTCTCCTTCTTTTACTTTAGTTTTAATGTCTGTATATAGTTTCAATGATTTCTGTCAATTTTTGTAGGCACTAGTTCGTTACTCAAAATTATGATCACGTTTCTTAGCCCTACTTGATCAAATGCCTTTTGGAGGTCTACAAAACACAAGGCAGGCTTGTTATTGTTGCTTTTGTCAAATTCTTTCAGGCATGTGTCCAAAAGTATAAAGGATAGTACCACACATACTTTGGTATTGTTTTTTCCCCCTCTGTGAACATATTACAACAGAGTCTACTCAACCAATTTTCCAATTTCTAAATGCATATTGTTTTGTTCTCAAGAGATTTTCCTAAAAGACAGTCTCTTTGTTTGGTGATCTCTTACGATATACAGTTTTATTCACACATTTACACTGATTTGTAATTCCTGTTCAGGGCAGATACTGTACTTTGTCACGCTATAAAATTATTAGATAGCCTTCAACACTACAAAAAGAGCAATGAAGGCAATGCTTTTTTTTCTTTCAATTTTTAATTAATTTTTTTCAAGAAATATTTTTTAGTTACAATGCTGGTAGTCCTATCTCCAGGAATGCTGCAAGTGTATCACCATACATAGAAACTATCTTTGAGTCTGTACTTGACAAAAATATAAAGTTTTATATTGGGTTGTCACTCCCAGGTGCTTTTTTGTCTAGAAAGATTAATTCAAATTAAAATCGTTTAATCTCATTAATTCCCTTCCTGCTAAATATCATTGAGCTCCGACCAATTTTCCTGGGTACAACTATTATTGATAATAAAATAGATATATCTAATGTAATAAAAACACGTTACATAACAAAACTTTGGTATATTACATTGGTACAGGTAATCTACCAAACATCATTACAACAAATCATGATAATACATTTAGTGTGTATTAGTCATTTCTCAGGTACAAGGTCAGTGTGCTTTTCTCTTGTGATTTACTTCACTAGTTGTCAAAAAATGCCAATAGTATTTCAACCATGAGTAGGTGACACCTAAAGCACAGTAGATTGATGTAAGCATCAAAGGAAGAAATGGTAACTTATTATTGATTCCTAACCAAGAATGAAATATATTTTCATACAAAAATAGTGGGATCAGACCCAAAATATATAATGTTTCAAATATTGTCAACAATGGCAAAGTAAAGGTGTCATGTTTTAAATCAAAAAGATTAGAGAGATTCACAAAAGCATATGATGAATGAATAACCAAAAGTAACACCTTAATAGGTAACTCAAATGATGTGAAAAGAAGTGGGAATAATGAATAATGACCAACAGTAACAAACATCAGATAAACTTGTGCTTCTTTTTTCCACACAACAGCCATTACACTGCAATAAAAAAAACAACACAATGATCACAAATGAGAAATGAAGTGTTTGCATTTATTGTGGTGTCATTATTATAACAGCAGTTACCTTAATGGAATGATAATCAGTAGAACAGCTTTCTCATGTACATGCCACCCAAACATGAAAGATCCACAAGCGCACAAGACAACACACCGAACAAAATGGAGTGGATTCCCGGGGCATCTCCATAATTTAACCAATGCAGGCTGCAAGTGAATCAAAATGAATAAAATTGCATTTACTTATAATATTATTATTGTTTCTATTTTTCACCATCAAATTACGCACAGTCATTGCAAGAACTGTTAATAAAAATGTTGTTTTGGGCTCTATACTGGGAAGAATGTTATGTTGGAACTCCTGGACCAGGCCTCCAGTCATGGAGGCTTTTTCCGAGATCACATTAAAACCCAAATGACTGGCTGCAAAAATGGAAGAATATCTATAGAATTAAATATAAAGTAATAAACTCAAACAAGTAGACATGACACCAAATTGTACATACCAATGGCTGTGGCAATTTTGTCAATGGTGTTGTAAATAGCCCAGAAATTTGGAGCCCAATATGCATGACATAAACCCCTTTTAAATGGAAAAAGCCTTGAGAAAACCTTTGAACATAAAAATAAAAATTATCTGCAGTCTTTCAAGCTCAAAGGTACAATAATGTTACAAATTTATACTGCAGGAGATGGAACTTGGGTATTGACAGAGGAGCAGCTTCATTTCCATGGCAACCACATTCCTGGTCCAATTTGGTATAAGTTATCACAGCTCTCCCTGACCATCATTGTCAATATAATATGAACATCTCCACAGATGCTACAAAAGGTGACTGGGTTTTGGCACGAGTTGCTTTGCACAGAGTCTCAGACTCAAAACATAAGCATTTGATAGACTGCAACCGATGATTTCTAATGTAGACGTCTTACCAGACAGGAAAATCTTCCGGCTACGCAAGAGCTTGTGTATCACAGTACTGCACTTTGTGCTTGAGAGCTGTCAGTACCAAAGAAAGATCTCCTGAAGTATAGATATTTACCTGTCCCAACTGATTAAAGTAAATAAATGGTCCAAATGATACTACAAATACTCCACAAACAACAGCACCCAACTTAGCTATTCTAGCAGTTGAAAAACTCTTCCACTGTACTGCCATTCCTGGCTGCACAACTAGAAAGCAGTAATTGCGTAACAGATAAATAAAATATGCTGGAGCTATGTACATATATATGTGTTTCAAATTTAATAACACACTAAACCAAAAGGCTGCAGAGACACATCTCCCCTGAAACATTAAAGAACACTTTCAGTATCTACCTTTATTGTTCTATATTATTACTTTGAAAAGAAAAAAGAAAAGCCAAATTACATCCCTGGAGAGACGTTCTCACCTGCAAAACTCTAGCAATTGATATCAACAGAAGACCAAACAAGAATCCATTATATTGAAAATGGATATGGTCAACTAAAAGAAGGCCAGCATTGCCAAGTAACAATACTTGTAGAATTGCTGCAGGTGATCCCCAGCGAGATCCCCATTTGCTACTTTTTCTGACACCACTACCACTCAAATACAAGCAACATCTGTGGTATTAAAGAAAAACAAAATAACTTGCAATTATCCAGAATTCTAGATATGAAGTTAAAGAGAACTGTGTAACTACACTCACTCCCTAGTTCCATAGGCAAAAACCAAGTCTGTAATTATTACAGAGAGACGCTGAAATATTATAGTTTCCGATGATGCATAATTAATATTTTTGATAACCAACATTTGTGGATCAAAGTACTTTGCAACATGGGAAAGGAAAAATTCAAACCAAGCAAATAGAGGGGGATAGTCAAGAGTCCATTCTGATGTAGCTTCGTAATACCATTTGCTGATGGGTAATGAATGAGTTATTGCCAACCAATTGCGATGAACTTCGAAGTCAGTAGAACGACTGCAAAAAAGGTATACACTTATATTACTTGAATAAACAATGTACTAACTCAAGAAATAATCAAGTATTTCTGATAACATAATTGAATAAAACAAATATTTGGATCAAAAGATCAAGCTTCATAAAAATATTGACAATGAACAGGCATATTTTCAACATGTTGGTTTACCAGTTGCGCCTTTTTTTCTACAGGGAACTGGAGTTTGTTATCAAACATCAACAGGTTGCAGCATCTTCTACTGAATTTCACTTACTAGGCTGGGATAAGAAGTAGTTTCACACAAGAAATCAGACCCACAATACTCCAGAACATGATGAAAGAATGGTTTAAGAATATATCCAGGTTACTTCACATAGGCTGTTTTCTGAGGCGTCGACGTGTAAATTTGCTGATACACAAAATGCAACCAGTGTCTCATCTCAAAGGTCTACAATAAAACAGTATAACAAACTACATGTAGTGCATCTGCTAGTTTTTTAACACATTAGTTTGTAAGCAAAAGTATAAATGTAAATGCCGGTCATAACGTCCGTCATGTTGACAATATTTCACAGTTACAAACTTTGCTCACTTCCCACACGTGTACTATAAGGAAAGAAGGGCTATCACAGCCATCTTTATGTGAACTACAAGAGAACTGACAGTAAGGAAACACGTTTATATGACATTGACACATGACATGATTGTATCGTTGAGTATTCTATTAATACATTATTGACTGGCTTTCGTGGTTCCAGCAGGGCCTAAAGACCTGCCTGCAGTATCCCATACTTTTTTTATATTCAATTCTTTTTCAGCAAACGTCGTGGAGAATAACAAGTCCGTACAAATCTTATTAAAAATGCAGGATAATATATTTTTTTCATTTACAGTTGGACAATGCTAATGCTTTTTGAACCGTTACGTTAAGAACTTTTTGACCGTGAAAATTTGAAAAACGAAAATTTTGGGGTCCTTCTTTCTAGTTTAATGTAGTTTCTTTCTTCTCATTATTAGACTAATAGTATTATAAAAGACCGGGCGAAAAATTCTAATTTTCATTGTATTTGAATACATTCCATTAGTTACCAGTGATTAGTTACATTTGAGTTACACCTTATTTTTTGTAATGTTGCGCCGTGAACAAGGGAATATGATACACCGCGAGCAGAAACAGTTTTCCATTACAATAATTGAATGAATGTTCATTTTAAACCCAATAATAATTTCTTTATAACTTTCTACTTTTAACAATGAGTTTCGGTGTACACAAGAGGGGTCTTCTATGACTTGTTCGGAATGCATTACGATGTACTATAATTGAAAACATTGCTTTATAACAATCCTAAAGTTACGAATGCCGTTGAAATCGATGCAATCTTCATTCAATAATATGAAAGTGAAAAGTATTGAAATAAAAAGCCCTCAATTTTTATTCTATGATTGTAGGGAGGTCTCTGTGCTTCTGAGGTCGACCAACGCTGTATTCTCTATAGAATATATACTCCATGGCGCTGATAAATTTTAGTGATCTCCGCAAATGACAGTGAGGAAGTTTTGTTTGCGCTCTATGTGGGTGTGCCCTTTTGATGATAGTTGTCACTTGATATATGTAAAAGGCCTCATATTCTCAATTGCAAGAAGAACGTTTTTATTTTGAAGTCTACTTTTTTGCGTAAATCTTTAAAATTGCTGTTGGTTTACAGGAACGAGAGTGCCTATTCGATTCCTTCCTAATGATTTTATTGCTTCTGTAACCGAGGCGTCATCATTTGACGTTTGTTTCATGCGATAGAAATGTGAAGTTCGTGAAAACTTTCGCCTGTTGTGTTGTGTACAAGGTACTGCTTTCCTACTCGTGGATACTTTTATTTATTTATTTGCGTAATTTTGTATGAGTAACCCAAGGCTGCATTTCAGCACCTTGCATTAAAGCCAAAATGAATGAATTTTCAGTGTTTCTTTAATATTGTAAAGTTTTAGTTTGATAACTCACAGTTTATTTCATTGTAGATACACAAATTTACATCACAATGGCTACAGAGAAGGTTACATTGCAAGATGCTCTGTCAAATGTTGATGTTTTGGATGAGTTGCCTTTACCTGATGAACAACCCTGCATTGAAGCACAACCTTGCTCAGTTGTTTACCAGGCAAATTTTGATACTAATTTTGAAGACCGAAATGGTTTTGTCACTGGTATTGCCAAGTACATCGAAGAAGCCACAGTTCATGCAAGTTTGGTATGAAACATGATTAACATTTATTATTTGAGAAACGAATTTTATAAGAACTCTTTTAAACCATTATGTCTTAATGTAAAACATGAAATGAATTTTTTACAGAATGAACTGCTAGATGAAGGTTTAGTACATGCAGTGATGTTGTACACCTGGCGTTGTTGTTCAAGAGCAATTCCTCAACCCAAGTCTAATGAACAACCAAATAGGGTAGAAATTTATGAAAAAACTGTGGAAGTTCTAGCCCCAGAAGTTAACAAACTCTTGAATTTCATGTATTTTCAGGTAAAATTTGATTTGGGTACTTCATTCATTTCATGAAGTTTGGAAGATCAGTTGTTGCAAGAATGTAATTTGCAAATTTTGATTTACAGCGGAAAGCTATTGAGAGATTTTCAGCAGAAGTGAAAAGATTATGTCATCAGGAGAAGAGGAAGGATTTTGTCTCAGAGGCATATCTTTTAACTCTTGGAAAATTTATCAACATGTTTGCAGTGTTAGATGAATTAAAAAATATGAAATCTAGCGTTAAAAATGATTATTCTACATACAGAAGGTATTCAAATAGTACAGGTGTTGTTAGCTAAGTGGATACATTTAAAATAACAGTTAATCTTCACTTCAGAAGGGCTATTGGCTTGTTGGTGCTTGGGAACAATGTCTTATTTACCCTGTAAGTATTTTTTTGACATAAAAATTGTAAACTTCATTCTGGGAATTGCAAAATTCCAATGCAATTTTATGTTTAAGTTCTTCTAGGACCCAGATGAAACATGGCTAAGCTTATCTGAATTACCTTCTAGCCTTTGGCCTCCACAATTTACATATCTAAAACAACATTGAGACTGTGCAATGCAAAATTACCGATGTGTTTATAAGTTACTTATACTTAAATGTCAAAAATACACAAAACATGTATGCATAGAAACAAAAAAACACATTGTGCTGCAGTGCAGTGCCAAGCAAAATGGTCCTATTGAAGCGAAGAGTAATCAAAATAATTTCTTCCTGCTTTAATTTTTATAATGAATACCTAAATCAAGAGTTTTAAAAAAATTATAATTTATTTTAATTTTTTTAGGGCTGCACAGTTTCTTAAAGTTATGGCTGATTCTCAGACATTGCAGGAGTCACAAAATCTTTCAATGTTCCTTGCTACACAAAACAAGATTAGAGATACCGTTAAGGAAAATTTGGAAAAGATAACAGGATATGAGGAACTGTTGGCTGATGTTGTAAATATTTGTGTTCATATGTTCGAAACTAAAATGTATCTCACCCCAGCTGAGAAACACATGCTTGTTAAAGTTATGGGATTTGGTCTTTTCTTGATGGATAGTGATCTGTGCAATATTAACAAACTTGATCAAAAAAAGAAACTTAAACTTGAAAAAATTGATCGAATTTTTAAGGTAAGTTACATTTAATTTATTCCACTCAAATGATTTAAATTAGGTGATGCTTTGACCTTGTTTACAAGAAAGAAATAGTTGGGCTGTAGAATGGCACGGACAAGATTAGATTTAGATTATATTTATACAGTCAAAAAAACAGTAAAAACTGTACGTGACGTAGGGGGGAAAATACTATCTTGTAGTAAATTGTTCTAATTTCCTTTGTGAGGGCTAGGTAGGAGGGCTGGTTAGCTGCCATCTATTGCTGCCCTTAATATATTTGCGAAATTTTCTCAGTTTTTCGGTTTCCTATTGTTAGATTTGAAATATTACTTTTAAAATATTAAAAAGAGACCTATATGGTCATTTTTATTGATAAATTTGAAGCCTATTTTAAGAAAATTGCATGCAAGCATTACTGTAAATGCACAACTTAAAGCTCTTTTTCACAGAAATCTTAGAGTTTTTGAAAAACTTCATTTATACCACTTCCACTCAGTAATGTAATAATATGTACAAATCACAGGAAATGGACATATTAATGGCATGAAATATATATGTATATATGTGTGTGTGTATATATAATTTTATTCGCATTATCTGTTCAAAAAGTAGAAAAAAAAAATTTTGAGCAGTTTTTGCAAAAATGGCTTTTGGCTTTTGTTTCGGAATTTTGAGCTCGTTTTCATGGAAAACATTTGTGTTATCAAGAAACCTTTATAAGACATCATTCAAAGTATATGTCGTTAGTGCAATAATGTGAAGAAATTGCCACTAATGTAAATATTAACGGCATGAGAGGTTAATCAAAAGAATATACGTTTTTCGTTTTTGGAAAATTAAGAGAATAGAGCAATATGGATTTTATTTCATCTCATAGCATACATGTAGCATTATCTCTACCAAACGTTTAAAGAAAAATTTGAAGCCATTTTCGAAAAAATCTTGTTTTTGTAATTTTTTAAAAAATTTCGCTTATTTCACGCAATATTGTGTAAAATTTACTAAAAGTTTCAAAAAAAAAGCACATGACCTTTTTGAAAGAACTAAGTATGGACAATAAATTTTATTTGAAGGAACAATCTCTATCTTCAATTTTGTATTTGCAGGAAGAAGTCGAAAAAAATCAAACTATTGCTATTTTCGGAAATTCAGAGTTAACAGTGAAAATTGAACCAATGCCATTTGTATAAGTGTATTTTACCCTTTTCTTACAAGAAATTTAATGAAAAAACTTGGAGCCTTTTTGAGAAAATTTTGAAATTGTCACAGGAACATCATGGTACTCCCAAAAATTAATCAATGTTTTTCAAAGTCTTAGAGCTTTGACTCAGGCCAAATAGCCAGCAGTTTATTTAGTTTGGACAAAAGTCGTGCACATAGTTTAGGGGCTATGTACCATACACCCAGACAGATGGATTGATGTTTTGCCGTTAATTGATTTTTGAGTATCAAGGACCCACAAAACAGGGATTCTGACTGCACTACATGTTAGAGGACCTCAATTTAGCAACTGGATTTATTCACCCTTTTGTTATCAGGGCCCTGTAATTAATTTTTTCCTGCTGAAAATACGCCTTTTTTTGCACAGCATTACATAAACTTTCTCTATACTACATATATTACTCCGTATGAACATACATACATGACATACGTACATGAGAAAGTAACTAGTGGTGCTATTGAACGAGACCAACTTTCCTGTTTTAGTTTTCTATTTCCTTTGGTCTCGGCTAGCAATTAGGACTAGCCACATTCTCTTGCTGACTGCCATCTACTGTCGCCCAAAGTACATTTTTTTGAAATATTCTTAATTCGGTTTTCTAATACTATTATTTTAAGAAAATTAATGACCAGAAAATCTTTGTTCTAAATGGCAATTTTCTTTGAAGAATTTCGAGTAGTTTGTAAGAAAATGGCATTTAATTGCTACTGTAAATTTGAAGTTTCAACCTCTTTTCATAGAAAACTACTGAGTTTTCGAAAAACTTCATCAGAAGTCATTTGAAACATTGTAACTCACGAATACAATAGTGTTTACAAATTGTTAGAAATGTGCATATTAACAGCTTGAGAGATCTTTTAAAAAAAATTACATTTGTGTAAATTTTGAAAAAATAAAAGAATATAGCAAAATTAATTCTCTCTTCTTAAACAATGCAGTTAGCACTATATGTTGGAAAGTTTGAAGAAAAAAAAAAAAAAAAAAAAACTTTATTGGTTTTTGAGGAAATGGTGTTTGATTGTTTCTGAAAATGCAGAATTTTGAGCTAATTTTAACAGAAAAGAGTAGAGTTTTCAAACAATTTTTCTGACATAATTTAAAGCACATAAATTAGTGTGAACAAATTGGCATTAATGTAAATGCTAATGATGTGCGAGACAACTTAAACAAATTACATTTGTAATGTAAAAAAACCCATCAAAGAATAGAGCAATACAGTGTTTATGTCATTATATAGAGTGCATTTAGTACTATCCCCACCAAAAGTTCAAAGAAAAAATTTGGAGCCACTTTTGAGAAAATCTAATTTTTCTATTATTTTTTTTAATTGTACATATTGCTCACAATATTGCGTGAAAACTACTAAAATTTTAAATGATGTACCAGATCTTAATGAAAGAACTCGCTAAGGAGAATAAATGTTTTTTGAAGGTAAAATTTCCATCTTTATTTTTATAGTTGTACGAAGATGTTACAAAAAATGTAAAGTTTGCAGTTTACCATGAAATGAGTTAACCATGAAAATAGGACCTACGCTACATTTATGAGTATTTTACTCTATTCTTATGAGAAATTTAAAGAGAAAATTTGAATTGAATTGATGTCTTATTTTCCGTGGCGAGACTCAGGCCACCTGCCCTGCTCTTCTGTCTGACCACACAAATTTCGTTACACTCCTTGCCTTCCAGTAGTGGAGAAAAGGGGTATTTCTTGGGCAACGAAACAGGCGATTTGAATTTTGCTCAGAGGCTTCATTTAGGCTGAGGATCTTTTACCTGTAAATCTACTAACATGGGACAGTCAGCTTTACTGCCCCTCCGAAGGAAGGTGTACGAAGGATTTTCTCCCCCTTAAAAATCCTCAGCTTCAATCGGATTTGAACCTGCGAACTTTAGTATAACAGCCCAATACGCTAACCGTTACACCATCGCCGCCATTTTTGGACCCTTTTTGAGAAAATTTTGAAAATGTCCAGGGGAGTCATTTAAAGCACCCCCAAATTTAAGAGAATAGTTTGTGCTAGTTGTGTTTGCAGACGAAAATTTTGAAAAATATTTTTTTTTGATTTCTAGGTTCCTCAAAATGAGTATTTCCATTGGCAACTCGAAATCGATTTTCCGCAGCATTACATAACTTTCCCTAAACTATGTATATTACTTAGTATATACGTTTGTATACAGGAAAGCAACTAGTGGTGCTTGCTACAGAATGGGACAGACTTTCCCGTATTTTTTTTCAATTTCCTTTGGTCTCAGCTAGCTATTGGGACTTGCCACTTACCATCTGCCATCTATCGCCGCCCAAAGTATGCCCTCTAGTATGGTAGTTATGTACCTCTTTATTACTCACAAGATATTGATTCTGATTATTTCTCAAAAGTAGTAATACTTTGTTAGAATAAAGTGCTACAACAGTCAATAATTCATATTTAATAAAGAAATCTTTATAGGACTGTCTCAGATTCAGTTTGAAAATGCTTCTGATTCATTTCGTTGTAGGATCATTAATCTATCCATATTTTTTTGAGAAAGTTATTTTCTTACATATGGAGTGTATTGAGAATTCACGTTTGGGGATTTTTGATATGAAAAAAGTTTTTCTTTTTTTTCTCAAATTATCTATTAGTCTGTAAAGAATTCCAACACAGACGGTTCAAAGGATTTTCAACAAAATGGATATTTCTCTATCAGTCTGGCTGATGATCTATCATAGTGAAGAACTTGATGTTTCACAAGAGATCTTTCTGATTTCTCTCAGAGCTCGCTTACATAATCAATAATTTTAGTTACATTGTAAATAATCAATCTGTAGATCAGTGATAACTTTCTACCACATTTGCAATATCCCAGTTTTGTTTCTAGAGCATACAGGTCAGAATCACAGAGAGACATTTTGTTGGCCTGCTCGTGGCCCAACCCACTCTACCCCTCCCTCAATCAGCCTGAAAGGTTTCTGGCCTATGAGTCACAAACCCGACGATCATGAGTCTCCAATAGGAAAAACAGGAAATTTGCTTCAGCTTGTTACCTGACACTTGCCTCTTTTCCTCCCCTAATGTGCCAGCCATGGCTGTGCCTTGACTGAGAGGAGAAATGCACAGTTGCCGTATTAGCATTATAAGGGGAATCCCCTAGACAAGGGTTGCAAGATAAAATAAAGACCCTATACACCTATTTAGGTATTCTCGTCTACCTCAAAATACCGTTCTTTTCTTTTTTCCTGAAAAATGGGAATTTTTGATTTTTATTGTTTTTTAATGCATTAAGATGTGTACTTTTCAATGCCTAAAACCATTTGTAAGTTTGTTAGCTTTTTGCTATTTGTACTTTTCTGAATACACATGCATATGTCACGTCCCCACAGCCATTTGCAGTTCAAATGGCCATGATTGCAAGAAATGAAAGAAAAATTAAGATTATTTGGTGAGAAATTTTAAAAAGCAATTTAAACTAATGTAACATCTTATGTCTTAGGGAACTAGTGTTCACAGACAACTGCTTTAGAGCTAATGAATCTTAATCTGCCTTTTCCCTAAAGTTAAGTTTTCTCTTTTGGTCTGACTCTAAACATAACTCTTCTAATTTTAAAGGTATCTTTACGATTCCTTTTTTATTTAATAGTAGAAAGTCAATTATTGTGCCTAAAAGGGAAATTGTTATAAAAAAATTCAAGTTAGCAATAATAAATTGATTGTTATGTTCCTGTTAATTGTTATTGTTACTAGTGATTTTTAAAAGTTCTAATTTATATCCCTGCAAAATATGTACAAGTCCCTAATGAATCTTCAAATAGGTTCAGCCACTAAAGAATAATCCAAGTAATAATCGTATAAAGGAATCGTCAAACAATGTTTAACGATTCATGAGTTATGATATTTCAAAATATACCCTGTTTTTGGAAGGAGAAATAGATATTTTGGATGAAATAATTCAAATAAATTTAAAAAATTATTTTTGACTTTGTTAATACCTAATCCAATGAATATTAAAGATGTATGGCTTGGAAGGAATATGAAAGATTGAAAGATAAGCAGTAGTTTATACTGAGCAAGTTTGTTTTTCTAGAATCTGTTAATGAACAATATTTTCACAAATTAGAGAGTAGAAGAACTAGAAACATAATTCTGAATCTTGAAAATGTTTACATATCTTGTCCCAAACAGTTTATTATTTTGTATTTTAGATGTTATTTATTTTTGTCCTAATATGTATGAAATTGTTTTCAGAACTTGGAAGTTGTACCTTTGTTTGGTGACATGCAAATTGCTCCATTTAATTACATTAAAAGAAGTAAACATTTTGATCCATCAAAATGGCCCTTATCTAGCTCAAATAGTATTAGTCCACAAGCTGATTTAATGGTGCACTTGCCACAAATTAGAGAAGACCATGTTAAATATATCAGTGAACTGGCTCGTTACAGCAATGAGGTATGATATATACTTTATTTAGATCAAAGTTCTTGTTATGGACCATTAAGCTAATTCAGTATCAAAAATTTAATTGAATGCAATAACTTCTCTTAGTTCTACTCTACTCTGGGTAAACTACAAAGGTAAACAAAAGTGATGTTTTAAATTATTGTTTTTTTAGATAACGATAGAATTAACTCTATTTTGTTTTAATAAGCTTTGTAAGAATTACTTGTTATAAATTAAATTACTTGCTCCTACTAAAACTCCTACTAACTCATACATTTAAAGAAAGATGCAAAATATTCTGTGTGTATTTCAGTGTTTGGGGAGTATACAAATTGGGGGAGAAGAAAGAAAACATAATTCAATCTGTTTTACAAAAGTTACGAGATGGTAGTTATTGACTTGAACGTGATTATGCCTTACCTTACCAATAAACACTTCTAATGATTATTGTTCTTCAGTTGAAATTATTATAGAATATAATGTCATCGATTATGAGTCTGATACGAAATATTTTATTAAACATTTACCATTTGTCATGAAAATAATTACAGGTGACTACTACATACAAAGAGACACGAAGTGATGTTGAAAATAGAGAAACAGCTGAATTAGCATTGCGTGGGCTTCAGCTCTTATCTGAATGGACAAGTGTTGTTACTGAATTGTACTCATGGAAGTTGCTTCATCCAACTGATCATCATCAAAACAAAGAATGCCCTGCAGAAGCTGAAGAATATGAAAGAGTAAGATTTGTGTTTATTGATTCATTATTTTTGCGGAGTTGCTTTCATTTTTTCTTTTTTGTTTTGTTCTTTTTTCTCTTTATTTTTCTTTCCCAGAAATTACCTTGCTTCTTTTTGACCCTTAGGCAACCCGATACAATTATACAGAAGAAGAAAAATTTGCTTTAATTGAAGTAATTGCAATGATAAAAGGGTTGCAAGTATTGATGGCAAGAATGGAAACTGTTTTTACCGATGCAATACGCCGAAATATTTATGCTGAACTTCAAGATTTTGTACAGTTAGTACTTCGAGAGCCTCTACGAAAAGCCATAAAAAACAAAAAGGATCTCATCAGAAGGTTAGTAACAATTAGTTTTTATGTTATGTACTTTATTCAGTCTTTCAGTTGATACATTGTTAAAAATATTCATTCAATATCCTCGGTTCAGAGAGATGTATTTTAATAATATTATTATTTCATAATAATTTTAATATTTAAAACCATTTTTTTGTGGGGGGGTACTTTTTGTATTGTGGTTTCATTTTCTCTCAGTTGTTTCTAATTGTTGCAATTACTAGTTTACATTCCCTTTAACTTTCATACATTATCATGGGGGGTACTTTAACCAAGTTGTTTTTATAATTCATCCATTTTGATACTGCGCAACTTTTCTTGAACAATGGATTGAAAATATGCGGGTAGATTGGAGATATTAGTTACAAAATCAGCCACTAGATTTTATGTAGCAATGCCAATCATTGTAGAATCAGTCATGCCTTTGCAACTTTCTTCATGACAGAAGTTCTCATTTTCAACAGAAAAGGGTTTCTATTTCACATCAGTGAAGGTGTGTTTGGAATGTTGTCATCAGTGCTCGCTCCAAGCTTTGACATCAAATATTTATTGTGCCAGGAGAGGAAGAAAGGTCATCGTTCAAGAAAAGTTGGGCGATTAATACCTCCCGAACATCATGGTGGAGATTGGCCTTAGACTCTTTGGATGAATCAGATATGCAAGTCTCTTGAGTCCACTTCATATGCTTCTCTCTTTTAAATGCTCCAACAAAGAGGACTTGTTATAGCTTGTGGAAATGTTGCCATCTCTTTACATTGAATTGTAGATTGTTCAAGCTTAAGCAAATGATAATTGGGCAAGGGAAAAACATCTCAGAACAATCTTATAAGCACCATGATAGGGCTGTGAGTTACGAGAGTAATGGTACATGGCTGAAATGAAAATAAGGAGTACCTCAGGGCATTGTTTGAGAAGCCCAAAGGAGTTGGGCATTGTCACTGTGCATTGGGGAGTCATAGGATTTGTGCATTGTGGTGTGTTGTATCGTTGTTCTGAATCTAGACTGCCAGTTACTCAGTTACACACCTCAGTTACAAAGAGACAGATTAGACACATTAAAGTATAGATATAATAAATAAGGGTCTGGAAATAATGGACCAGAAACATAACTGAAAATATTCATGCCTTACGCTTGCTTCAAGCCTACAGCCATCCCCTCACTGGGACACTTTAAGCTCCTGTGCCACACAGCTGGCTATCTTGACTGTAGTGTTTGTATACACGTTACCCTAATGTAAAATAATAAATGATTTTAAAAAAAATTCCAATTTAAGTGAAATTGACTTTTTCTACTTTCTCACATACTTTTGTACATGAAGAGTAATATAGGTAGTATTGAGAAAGGTATGTAATGCTGTTTTCCAAACTGAATACTCTCCAGCCAATCTGAACCCACTCGAAGCTCTGTGATTTTTAATAACATTAATTTTGAGGGGTACTTCACATGAAGCCTCTGGGACTTTTTAAATATTTTTTTAAAATGGCTCTAATTTTTTTCTTTCAGTCTTTTGTAAAAATAGAATAAAAGAGATTTAAAAGGTAGCACTGGTATGATTGTCACTGTTAACTCTAAATTTTTGAAAACTGAAAATACTCAGAATTTTTTGTGCGTCTTTCTACAACTACAAAATTGATGATAAAGATTTTTCCTTCAAATGAAATTTGTTCTCTGCAATTACTTCTTTCATGAAGGCCGTGAATGTATGAAAATTTTAGTAATTTTTTTGCATTATAAAGTGAAATATGTGCAATATTTAAAAAAGAAATCAAAAACAAGAATCTCTTAAAAATAACTTCAAATTTTAAAACTTTTGGTGGGGATAGTGCTAAATGTATTGTAACAGATGACATAAGGGCTATTTTTCTGTATTATTTTGTTTTTTCAAAAATTACACAAATGTAATTTTTTGACATCGCACAATTAATTAATATTTACATTACTGGTGATTTGTATACATTATTGAATTTGTTAAAGTAAGTGCTTCACATGATGTCTTATAAAGTTTCTCAAAATGTCAAAAAAAGTTCTTTGTGAAAATGAACTCAAAATTCTGCATTTTCAGAAATGCTCAAAGGCCATTTTCTCAAAAATGGCTCCAAACTTTTTGTATGGATAATGCTAAATGCACTATAGAATAAATAAATGTTATTTTGATGTATAAATCTTTTTTTCTAAAAATTACGCAAATGTGTTTTACTTTCTCGTATACATACATATATACGGAGTAATATACATAGTATAGAGAAAGTTATGTAGTGCTGCGGAAAAAAACGACTGATTTTCTACAGAAAAGAATTAATGCTGTGCCCTAATAACGAAAAAATGTATAAATCCAGTTGCTAATTTTTAAAAAATCCTCTAAAACGTGGTGTATCCAGAATCCCTGTTTTGTGGGTTCTTGATACTGAAAAATCAATTTACAGCAAAACAGCCCATTCCGTCCCATCCCGTCCCCTTCCCATCCCGCACCTGAAATATGTTCAATTAAAAAAAAACAACAAAAAACAAGCTTTTCTCGAAAGTGGCTCCAAATTTTGTCTTTAAACTTCAGTAGGGATAGTGCTAAATGAACGGGATAAGATGACATAAACACCATTTAGCTCTATTCTTCTTCTTTTTTTTTTTTTTTTTTCAAAAATTACAAAAATGTAATTTTTTTTTCTAGCCTCCCACATCATTATTTACATTAGCGGCTTTGTATTTACACTATTGCATTTTCATACATATTCTTAATATTCTTTCTATATATTCTTTAAATGATGTCGCATAAAGTTTCTCGAAAACTCAAATCGTTTTGTTAAAACAGGCTCAAATTTCCGCATTGTGAGAAATGAACGCCTTCTAACACCATTTTCTCAATAACGTCTCAAAATTTCTTCTTCGAACTTTTCTTATGGATAGTGCTAATGGCACTGTTTAGGATGATATAAATTTAATTTTGGTGTATTCTTTCGTTGTTGTTTTTCTTCACATAATACATATACAATTTGTTTTTTTAAAATCTCTCATTCCCGTAATATGCACATTTCTGCGATTTGTATACAGTATTGCTTGTGTGAGTGAAAATGCTTCAAGACTTCAAATTAAGTTTATTGAAAACTCAAACAATTTCTGAAAGAAAGAGCTCCAAATTTCACACTTACAATAATGCTTACACATCATTTTCTTAGCAACAACTCAAAATTTTTCAATAAAAATTGCCTCTTAAGAACAGGTTTTACACTTCTTGAATATTTTTAAAGTAATATTTCAGTTTTACTATTTGGAAAAAGGAAAAATTGAAAATAAAAAAAATATTTTAAAAAATGTACTTTAAGCGACGATAGATGGCAACTGGCAAGAGTATGTGACAAATCAGAATAGCTAGCCCAGACCAAAGATAATACAAAACTAATACAAGAAAGTGTGTGTCTTTCTGTAGCACCTCCGTTTTTATTTATTACCTCTTGTGGGCTAAAAAATCATTGATTCTGACAACATTTTGCATTTGAAAAAGTAATTTTCTACTAAAAAAAGTAAGAAAAATACACAAAATTTTGTCTATCAGGGGCTGACTATACTAGTATTTTTTTGTTGAAAATCAGCACTTTTTTCCTGCAGCACAATACATTTTCTATACTGTGAGAAAGTAATAAAAAAAGGTGGTGTGCAGAAGGTTCGTGCTTAGATGAAGAAAAAAGCGCAACTGAATGAGTTAAAGAGGTGGCTTTGTGATGTAGAGATAAAATAAGTCTGAAAATCTTTGCTTTCTTTAATGTTTTTCAATTTAATGCAGAATTTTATTTTTTATTTTAATTTTATATTTTCAATTTTTTTTTATTTTAGCTTAGGTAAACAGCATTATTTAGTTATATTAGATTGTTTAAATATAATTTTGATCTTGAAGATAATTACTTATGAATTCAGTAGTGATGCATTTCCCTTATTTTATATAGTATCATAGTCTCAGTAAGGGAAACCTGTGCTGATTGGCAACGTGGAGTGGAACCACAGCAAGATCCTGCCTTGAAGGGCAAAAAAGATCCAGATAATGGTTTTGGTATTAAAGTGCCCCGTCGAAATGTTGGTAAGTTATTTTGTATTTATGGGTGTTTTGCCATTGTGAATGAATGCTAATCATGCATTTTATTGTGAAAATGGATGTGACTGTAACAAAATCATGAGCATGAGTTGAAGATTTTACTGGTGATATTTTCCTTAAATGTATTAACAAAACAATTACATTTTTTAAATCCAATTCATATTTTTTATATTTGTTGCTATTACCACTTGCTAAGTTAGTGAAGATTAAAGATAGGATGCTCAATCATTATACAATTCATAACCATGATGTTCCATGAAGTTGTACAATGTTCTATTCACTCCGACCAAATCTCATGAATGTTTCCTGATAGGATGTTCAAGCACTCTCAAGTCCTAAAGCATGCAGACAATAATCTGTTCTCAAGTAATCAAACATACCCAAATAACCCCTTTAAGTTCTCATGCCTTTCGATGTTAAATGAGCTCTTGGAGAAAAATTTGGCTGCCTTATATTTATCATTCTTAATTTCTTTTATTATTTTTTGTAGTGTAGATACGTTTTACTTTCACACGAAATCAATAAAAAAATGGATATCAGAAGAAAGATAATTAGATGATGAGGGGTCAAATTACTACACTTTCACTTTTCAAATAATAATAATAATAATAATAATAATAATAATAATAATAATAATAATAGTAATAATAATAATAATAGTAATAATAGTAGTAGTAATAATAGTAGTAGTAATAATAGTAGTAGTAATAATAGTAGTAGTAATAATAGTAGTAGTAATAATAATAATAGTAATATTATATTAATATTAATAACAATGATGATGATGGTGGTGGTGATGGAGTTGATGATATTTGTAGAAAAACTTTTCTAATGTCAGCAGGCACAAAACACGCAATCCCCCAATACACAACTTACTTATTTGTTTGTTTCTTGTCATCTATCATGTCCATTATAGTGCTTTGAAACTTAGGTGGTCTAGGTCCTTGGTTTTCACTCCAAAGGCACAGAGTTCTATTCTCCATGCCGTAATCTACAACAACAACAACAACAACAAAAAAAATCTATTAGGACGTTCTGTTATATATTTGGAGGTTTGACTCTACTGAGTACCCACAACCTATGGTGTTAATCTCATTGTTTGAAGTGAATCTTCAACCAGCAACCATTTCAAATTTAGAAATAAGAAGTAGTCACTGGAAACTAAATACTGTGAATATTGAGTGTGGAAGCATGTCGAAATGAAGTTCATAAAGTCTCACAGCAACTATACAAGAGGGGTGTGAAGGTGCCTTGCCATGATGAAAGAGAGATTTCTTTTTTTTTGCAAGGTGAAGTCATTTGTATAGCATCCTTCAGTTGATCTAATAATGAAACTTAATACTCCCTGGTGATAATTCTGCCTTTCTGAAAGTAGTTTATGAGTACCCCACCATGACAATTCTGAAAACTCATTGCCAAAACTCTTCTGCAGATGGAATAGTTTTCGCTTTCTTTAAGAAACACACAAACGCCATTTTCTCAGAAACCACTCTAAATTTTTTTTTTTCTTCAAACTGTTCAAATGTGTAGTGCTAACTGCACTGGTTATGATTACATACAATTAATTTTACTATATTCTTTTATTTTTTTCAAAAATTACAAAATTTATTTTTTTCAAAATATCTCTCAAGCCTTTAATATGCACATTTCCAGTGATTTGTAAGCACTATTGTTTGTAACTGGAAGTGCTTGAAATTAGAAGTTTTTCAGAAACTTGACAGTTTTCCGTGAAAAGAGGGTCAACTTTCGCATTTACAGTTGTGCTTATATGCCCTTTTCGTAAAAACGGCTCCAAATTTTTTAAAGAAAATTTACTGCGAGGTTTTACTGTTTTTCTTTAATATTCTTAAAATAACATTTGTGTTCTACTAATATGAAACCAAAAAATTAAGAAAGAAAGAAAAAAAGAAGAAGAAAAAAGTACTTTGGGCAGCGATTGGTGACAGCTGGCAAGAGTATGTGGCTGGTCCAAATAGCTATCCGAGACTAAAGGTAATAGAAAACTAATACGGGAAAGTCTGTGCCATTCTGTAGCTCCAGTAGTTTGATTTGTCATGCTAGATTCTATGTAGCTTGAATTGTGAATATTGCTCAAAGTACTCCCAGAATGTTTCATTTGCGTTGACATTAATATTTTTAGAGAAATTAATTTTCTCTAAAAGACAATGGATGAATTCATAGATTGATAGCATTTGGTGGGTAAAATAACAGCATAAAGTAAGCTTGAAAGATTTTCAGTCCTAAAACAGTATGTACGTAAACGTCTGTAAAAGAAGAGGTTGTTTATTTGGAAAATACCCCATGCCAATATACCATTCTACACAAAAGAATTGTAACATTCTAAGTTACAGTACTTTAACATTCTACATGCTTTCACTAACTTTCAACTTACCTCAGTTTTTAAATACTTCCAAACTCTCACCGTTTTGATTCCCAAAACTGTACATACATAACTTGTACAACACGTGTACCGTAACTTTCGTTTCGGCTTTGTTTGAAACTTTCCACCCATGTTCAGAACGAACAAACCACAAACTCTCACAAACAGAGGTGCACATTCATAATATGATTCAGGCCCAATTCATTTTGTGGTTCAGGACATTAATTTGTAGATAAGGACATTCATTAAAAGATCTCAGCCATTGTCGTCGTCTGGTGGCACCTGGGCTAAACTATTGCCCATCAATGGTCTCTTGAATCTGTCATGTAATGCTAGACAAAAAAAGTCCACGAAAGAAGTTATGTTGTAAAGATGTGAAGGTTTATGTTTGTGAAACATTGTCTGTAGAACTCCAGACCTTCAAAAGAAACTAGCACAAAAGTTTCAACAATATTGGTTTAGTACATCCAGAGATTATCATGCTGTAATTCAAATGCTTGTTTCTTTATATATTAGTATAGATTTCAAAATAAACAAATATGTTCATGTACCAGAAGAAATATGCATTTTTAGATAAAATAAAGGGGAATATTTGGATTTAAATCCTCTGTAAATTACTGAAGTTTCCAGTGTGTAAAGATTGTATTGTATTCAAGAGATATTTTAAATATGTGAAAAATATGCACATATGTATGCAGTGTTTGTTCTAAAATACACTTAGAAAATACAGATTTATGTCATATTATATGATAATTAGCACCAAATTCTTGGTTGATATCCCAAAATTTTTATTCATTTGGTATTCTTTCTTTCATTTCCTAACTCAAAATTTAAATTTAATGGTTCAGAAGTACACTGCTATTATGAACATCAACTGCATATTTTATGTTTTCATGTACTAATTTGATTCAGAGGCAGCAAAAACCTTTCTCATTTTCTAGAACCAATCCTGGATGTGGATGAATCCAAGTATTAATATTTGCTCTTAAAAACACATACCACAAAAATGTACTTCAAACAGCTTACAGAAATGCTATTTACTGATTGTACCTCAAGCTGTGCATTACCTACAGCATGGGAATGTGAGCTCTAAGTTCACAGTTCACAGTACAATTTACAGTGGGCACTACACATTGTTGGTTTTGCAAGATTTGAACAGACAGCAAAATGAAAATTATCTGGAATTTTTGGCGTTTGTCTGACCTCCATGGCATTTTTGGCATCCTGTAAGTGAAGCAAATGCAAAGGACTTCATTTCTGAAATTTTATCTACAATTTACAAGTCCTATTTCTTCAAGCAATAATAATGTGTTGATGTATGTTGGAAAATGAAAGGTATTGTTGCAAAATTTGTGACAAAAAGAAATTCGCAATAAAACAATTCTCATTTTCAGGGAAGCATATAATTTGTGGATTTCTAATTTGAATCTATTTATCTTGGAATTGTCATACATACTTTGATCGCACTCAATACCTTGAAAACGTCACGAGTGAGAGACATTACATTACTTTAGAAAATTTGCAGAATGTAATTGGCTTCCTTGGTTTTAAAAAAAAAAGACTTTCTTGCCTGATTCCAAATGTATATTTAATAAATTGAAGCATGTTCCCATTCTCCCTTCACTTAACTTGGTTTGTCTGTCAGTCTGAGATCTGAGAATGAAATATGAGGGCAAGATGAAGAGAGCCAAAAAACCAATAATACTGAAGTTAATACTAAACTGGACCAAAATAAGAGAATAAAACTTCATGATGTGATGCAAATAAATATATTTGTAAAAACAATAATAGTATGTTTCATATTGTGCCACACATTAGATAATTGAAATTTTTGAGGGACAAGGGAATGGTAACTGCCATAGCCAACAGGTAGCTCCAATATTCTTTATTCTGATGTTATTTTCACTGTACATTTTGGTGAAATGAAGATGAAAACTACATTTCATGACACAGTGAAACACACAACAGTGATTTTGAATTTCTGAATTTACTGGTAAAAAATCCTTAAATCTAAACTTAACTTATTTTTACATTAAGGAAATATTGTCCCCGACAAGCCGCAAAATTGGCGGTGTTAGGCGCAAACTTCTTGCCCAACATGGATGCGAGAGATTTCCAGGTTTTTCTAATAACCTTTCGCAGCCCACAATAAATGGCACCACACCATCATTACAGCCCTGGGCTAAATTTTTATAACCTGATTCATATACAAAATTCATTTTAGTTATTGTAGTTCCTTGAAACCTTATTGGTTGCACCTACCATTGTCTTGTTTCAAGAACAGAAATGTATAACTGTGCAAAGTGTTGTTGACTTCTAAAATGTATTCTTAATTACTAAAATTACTTTTTGAAAATGTTAAGTGTTTTTTTTCATGCAGGTCCATCATCTACCCAGCTATACATGGTGAGAACTATGCTTGAATCGCTTATTGCTGATAAATCAGGAGGAAAAAGAACTCTACGAAAAGATATTGATGGACAGTATTTGGTGCAAATAGATCAATTTCACAAGACTTCATTTTTTTGGAATTATCTCCTTCGTTTCAGTGGTAAGGATTTAAAGTTTTTTGCATTATAATGATGTGACATACAGAATCATTTAAGATCTAAATATTGTATATCTTTTTCATTGTGCAGCTTCCCTTCAAGACTGCTGTGATTTGTCTCAATTGTGGTATCGTGAATTCTATCTTGAAATGACAATGGGGAGAAGAATTCAGGTAAGTTTAGTTTGAATTTTTTGAGTGAACTCTTCAAGTTTCAATTGCCAGTGTAACTGTAGTTGTAAGTGCGTATAAATGATGACATCTGATGACAAATAAATGACATCTGGGAATGTTTTGCTTCACTTATTAACTGCATATTTATATCATGCTGTTTCTGTTGATAATTCATTTTATAATATATGTTTATTTTAAAATATGTGATATTAAGTCACAGTAATGTAGACTAACAGAAAATTTGAAAAAATCGTAACATTTCTTTACACATTGTATGTACCAATAGTTGGTGTTAGCATTTTTCATCTCTGCATTATTTGCAGGTAGCTCTAATATGCTGTTTTTATTATGGTATACATTTGCATTCTCCTAAAGTATTTGGCGGAGGTAGAGATCCTGTCACTTTCGTGAAAAATTGTGTGCATTTTAATTTTTTTATATATAATCAAAAGGTTTTATTAAATTTTTCCGTTATATCATATCACTGAGTGGTTTCTAGGAATGTTATTTTTCTTCAGTTAGCTCTTAACCTGGGAGTGCTTGCAATGGATCTGAGAGATACCAGCAATGGCAATTTTATGTTTCTGAATTATTGTGATGCATTAATCGTCTGATATTTCATGTATTCCTTCATTGTACTTTACTGAAAATGCCTGGCATTCTATATTTATCTTTTCGCAAAATCATTTCCTGTGAGCGTGTTGAAATGTGATCGCTGCGCTACGCGAAATCTATCAGGTACGTTTCCAGCGTTGGTGCTAGTGCGTTATGAGCTCTTGGGCTAAGCAGTACATACCATGGCATTATTTTCAGCCATGTCTATGACAAGTCCTATTCAGAAAATGTAATCATTTGTTTGACCTAGATGAAAAAATGTGAATCTTGAAAATGAAAAAAAAGACTTTCGAAATAATTTTGTGAAAAATGAAAAATGTGTTTGCCATATGACAGAACATGCCAACATCATTTATGGAAATTGTATTTAATAAGATAATAAGATGTTTAATGATGTTTGCGTCTACTCTGTCAATTTTTACCTTTCTCACCATAAGTATTCAGAAAAGGTTTCTGCAGTGTAGGATTCATTAACTATTGCCTTGGGAAACACGTACAAACTAGATAAAATATGGATTTGTATAAATATACCTTCGGTACATTATGTTGTAGCTATATCTGAGAGATACATTGTGGACACTGCCGAGTTAAATGGATTCTCAGAAGGAAGTGAATTGAAGTAAATAATAAAAGGAAATGCAACGGCATACTTAATCTTGATTTGAGTATTAAGTAAAAAGGAGTTGAGAGATGAATGAAAGATCAAAATGAATTAACAAACGAACATGAGAGTTTATGAAATGAATATGAGAGTTTGTTTGTGAATTACTGATAACTCTTGTGTAATAGTGAGTCTTTGTAATTGAAGAACTCATTATTGTCTTTGTTTCTTTGATGATGTGTATGAATAAATGTATGTTTAAGAAATGTGTTAGTAACATCAGTTGGTATAAATCTATTTATAATATATCATCATGGCAGGTTCCAACTCTGAACACATCCGTCTACTTGTCACTCATTGCATCTGTAGCGCTAATTCATAGAGCAGTCTAATGATGCAGTGACAGCTTCTGCCTGTTACTTAACCCTGTATTAGACTGTGATGTAATTATTAGGTCATTAATCTGGTGAGGTTTGAGATAACCCATAATTTATTTACTAAAGAAATATTGTTACAAATGAAAAAAAATCCTTTTATATATTATTCATTATATATAGAAGGATTATATAGGGATATATAGATATTCATTATATATTCAAATTCTTCATTATATATAGAAAATTACTTTCAAATATATGAAACGAATTAAACTAGTGGTGCTACAGAATGGTGTGTAATGAAGAGCACCTTCATACATGCGAACATAGCATAGAACTCTCTTTGTTCAGTACCTTTACATATTTGCCTATGATATTCCCTGACCATTTTTTACTTTATCACATACTACATACATGGTATAGAAAAGTTGCGTAATGCTGCAGTGAAAAACAGCAATATTTTTACAGAAAAGTTGATTTTGAAGATCCCCAATGGTGAAAAAGTGGATAATACTTGTTCTTACATGCAGTTAATTACTTCCTCTTACATGTTGTATTTGCAGTATACATGTTTTGTGGGGCCTTTATACAGAAAAATTGCTGAATAGCACATCATCTGACCATCCATGAACGATGATAGTGGCCACACCTTAACCAAGTATTTCACTAAAGTGATATTCCCTCATCGATTTGGTGGATGTCATGGTCCTTCCTTCCAGTACGGTATTTCTACTGTCTGAGATCATTGTTTAAAGTACAAACATAACCAATCTAGAGAAGTACTATGAATTCCATATGAAGGTAATTTTTAAAGTGAAGTATATGATCAGTGACGTGAAATACTTTTGAGAGATCTAAAAATATTCTAATAAGTGCTTCATTTGAATCCATTCATGAAGTGACATCTTTAAGAAAAGAAAATATAGCTGTACCCATAGTTTTTGATTTTCTAAATCCAAGTTGGCAGTACGAAAACATATCCTATTAATTAGGAAAAGGTTTCCATTTGTACATAGAAAAGTCTCTGTAATGTTTTTGTGAAAACTGACAAAATTGAAATTGGACCATAGTTTTGAATTTAATATTTGTTCCCTTTTTTGAAGAGTGGCCTAATCTTAGATGTTTTGAAAATATCTGGAAATGTTCTGGTGCTTAAGGATTAAGGTGCATTCAATAGTCAAGTTAACTGTAGTATGCTGGCAGGTGCACAAGTCTTTAACAAACAATCTGGAAATTCATCTAAACTGGCCGAATTTTTTATTTTTATTTTACCGATTATTTTTAGAATGTCCTAATAAGAAGTTTTGGAAAGAAATATTGCATCAAAAATGTTCGTAAAAAATCTGTTATTGAATTTTGTAGTTTTAGATCCTTTGAGAGATCCACCACAATTCTCAAAATACATTGGTTGAAGAGGCAGTCCAATGTTGATGAATCATTAACTTCTCTTTCATTGTCTTTTATAATAACATTATCTAAGTTTGAGGTCTGTGAAGTCTTAAATTCTCTTAGAGGCTTCTGGTTGAGAGGACATATTTTTACTATTTTTCAAGTTGCTTTTATTTTGTTATTTGAGTTTAAAATATATTATCATGTTTCATGATTTTAGGGTTTCTTGTGACTTTTCTTAACAATTTGTATTTTTTTTTTAAGTAGAGGTGGAGGTATGTTATGATGTTCAGAAAGGAAATAAAGGATTTATTTGGTTATACATGAGATTTTAATTCCTCGTGTTATGCAAGTATTCTGTTTCCTTGAAATATTTATTTATTTTAAGAAGAAATTAATAAAGTTAAATAAAAATAATCATGAATTATACTTCTCATTTGTGTCAGCAGTATTGGAAACAGCATTCCTTGATACCTGCAGCAAGTGGTCTACGAATAATTTTATTTTACTTTTCTTAAACTACCTACACATATGTGTATTATTTAATGTGTTGATGATCGTATTTCTTGTAATTGAAAGAATTTGAGCATTGTGGTCATTATCCTAATTCTTTTGTTGCAGTTAGTGGTGGTAGTGGTTTTTTGAATTATGATTTGATTCATTGGCATCTTTAGATTAAGTGTGATCCATGTAGGTACATTTATTATAATATGTGAACTGAAGGAATTAATTAAATTGAGAGACCAATCTTTGGACAGATAATCAGTGTTAAATCTCATCATACAATGTTGAATTCAAAAGATTTTCGAAGAAAACTTTCAAGTTTTCATGAAAAGTCAACAATCAGAAATTATTTGAAGCACTGGAACTCACACAAGCAATCATGTTTAAAAACGCCTGAATGTAAATACTGAATAGTTGAGAGGGACTAAAATTTGAAACATCAAAAGGTTGTAGAGTATGTTGCAGAGTGACCCCTTTCTGGGAAACACAGTGAAAACTGGTAAACAGAGGGAATTTCAATTCCTGAAAAAATGTAGGGAAAACATAGGGAAAAAAGTTATCACATTCAATAAATTGATAGTCGATGTAGAATTCGCACTAACAATTATTTCCAAGTGACAAAATTAATTATTTATAAAAAATTTTATTAATTATAAGAATGATTTGTAAATAACTATTTTAAGACATAAACTACCAAATTTCACAATAGTCTATAAAACAGTATAATGTATTTAAAAATTCAGGCTTAGTACAAACTATAGTGCCACAAGTTGTCTAAAATGTTAAACGTATGAGAGGAAAAGTCACAAAGCCATTGATTTTTAATTTGCTTCATTGTGTTTGTGAAATTTCTACCCGCATTATAGGATCTACACTTGCACATATTAGGGCTACAACTGGCATTCCGTAATATAACCTTAAACTGCAGGTGGAGAAAAAACGCCATCATAGTCGATCGAGACATGCTTTGCTATGCTTGTGGGGCCAAAGTGCTGGGAAACAGTCAGTATGAGAGAGGGCAGAAGAACAGAAGGCTGCAGAATTGATAGCACTGAATAAAGAAACTTGTGGGGCTATAAATGGCACAGATTTTCTCATGCTATTTTGTTTTCTAATTTCTTTGGTTTGGACTGTCCACATTCTTTAGCCAGCTGCCATCTATAGCAACCCAAAGTACATTTTTTGAAATTTTCTCAATATTTTGATTTTATAATAGAACTAAATATTATAGAAGAAAAAAACCTCTTTATTTAAGGAAAAATTAATTGACAAATTTAGAGCTGTTTATGAGAAAATGACATTTAAACATAACTGTAAATGCAGAACTTAAAGCTTTTTTTTCTCTCTCAGAAACCTTTTGAATTTTTCGAAAAACTTTATTGGAAGTCATTTCAAGCACTTACAATGCAATAGTGTATGCTAATAACTGGAAATGTGCTTATTAAAGGTATGAGTGCTATTTCAAAAAAATTCCATTTGTGTAATTTTGGAAAAATATAAGAATATAGGAAAATGAGTTTTATATCATCTTAAACAGTGCAATTTGCAGTATAAGAAGTTTGAAGAAAAAATTTGGAAGTGTTTTCGACAAATGGCATTTGAGTGTTTATGAAAATGTCAAATTTTGAGCTAATTTTTGCAGAAACATTTGAGTTTTCGAGAAACTTTTAAATATTAATGTACTCATCATTCTCATGTACTAATAAATGCAATAATGTGAAGAAATAACCGCTAATGTAAATATTAACCAAGTGAGAGACTAGACATAAAAATTAAACTTTGTAATATTTGGAAAAAAAATATGGAGGAAAAAAACATATGTCGTCTCATCAAGTACATTTAACTCTATCCTTGTCAAAAGTGGTTTGCAAGCTGACTTCACTGGAATGAAAGGAAGAAGCTCCAATTACTCTGTAAGATATCCAACAGCATGAATAATTTAAATAAAATATTACAAATTATATTTCATGTATTGACTTGCAAAGAAATAGAGCGAGGTATCCATGGATAAATGCCTGCCCAAGTGGCGCCAAGTGTATAAAATTACAATGTATGCCAGCATCTTCATCCTTGCAACAGTGTGACATGGATGTGTTTGTGAAGGGAAAAGCCCAGGAATACATATATTGATATAGTTTGAAGAGATGGGAGATGGATGGAGAAGCTGCTGCTCCTCCTGGGCTGTGGAATGTGGAGCTCCATTATGTTTTGTCCTTTGACCGCAATAGCACTGTGAGTTTCGGGCAATAATTAACTTGAAAGAAGAGATGTTGAGGGTTCCTTGCCAGAGCGATTTTGATAATTTTTCAAAGTTATTAACTAAAGCCAAACATTTTCCCTCAAATATCATAGTAAAGATTTAATTTGGATGAATTTCCTCTCTTTTGTCCTGAAAGACGAGTTCTGTAATGATGCAAATTCCATCCATTTATGTTGCATCCATTCACCTTTTTCTTTTGTTTGGACATGGAATATTTTCAGCCTGTGTTTTACTTTTCCTCTTAATACCTAATCTTAAAGGGTTAGATCAGCAATCTCTCTGAGAATGCTCATGTCTGCTATTTGTAGCCGCCTGCTATCTGATCTATTCAAAATGCCGTTTTCTAATTAATATAGAACTGGAACTTGTAATGTTTATGTAGAAAAACCACATTCCATCACTGTGTGATTGTTTCTGACCTCCCTTGTTAATTATGTGGAATATCTGCAATCTATATTTCTCCTGCATCTACCATCAACTTAGTATTCAATTTCCAATTAAAATGGTGATGGAGAAAACAGGAGCACTGTATTAATGGTGGAAAATCAAAATAAATAATGACATTCTTTTGGAAATAATGTAAAGTAAATGTATTTTTTTTCTTCACCAGCAATCTAGTCTATATTTTAGTTTCAGATTCAAATGTTTTAGAAAACATATTAAACTAGAATGGCACACATTTTCTTGTACAAGTTAATTTTCGAAATTCCTTGGTCGGAGTTAGATTTTCAGTTTGGCCCACCTTTTTCCCAGCTGCCATCTATCGCCGCCCAAACTACATTTTTTCAGTTTTTCAAAACCCTATCGGTAGAACTGGAATATGAATAAGAGTATTAAAGAAGAGTAAAGCCTTGTCCCATATGTAAGTTTTCATTCACCAATGTGGAGCCACTTTCTAGAAAATGCCTTCTAAGTATTACTATACATTCAAAATTTGAAACTCATTTTCACAGAAAACTTTTGAGACTCCAGAAACTTCATTGAAAATCATTTGAAGCACTTCTACTTACAAATGCAATAGTATTTACAAATTAGAATGGCTTTTGAGAAATTCTTGGTTTTGACTTCTTTTAAATATTGCACTTGCTATGTTGCTAAAAGACTGGTAAACCTTTTTAAAAAACATACATGACCTTCATGAAAGAAATAGTTTTGGAAAACAAATTTTATTTGAAGAAAAAATCCTTATCATCAATTTTGTAGTTGTAGGAAGATGCCAAAAAAATTCTGAACATTTGCAATTTTCAAAACTTCAGAGTTAATAGCGAAAATCGTACCATTGCCATCTTTATAAGTGTATTTTGTTCTCAAACACAAAATTTGAAGCGATTTTTGAAAAAATTTTGAAAATGTCCCAGGGTCTGTGTGTAAAATCCCCCCCACCCCCAATTAAAGAATGTTATTAAAAATCATAGAGCTTTGAGTAAGGCCAAATTGACAAAGGGATATTCAATTTGGAAAATGTCCTATGAGTAATTTTAGGTGCTAGTGTTTTTGACAGATGTATAGCTTGGAGGAAAAAAACAACTTTCTCGGTGTCAGGGGACCCCAAAATGTTTATTTCCGTTGCAATCTCAAAGTCAATTTTCTGCAGCATATGTAACTTTCTCTATATGTTTATTACTCTGTATCTGTGTAAATGAAAAATTCAAATCTATTTTAGTATTTTGTTTCAGTTTATTATAATATTGTGAATTTAATCCACATTTTGAAGTGATTTTTTTCAACTTCTTAATACATGTATTAATTATATTATTAGAAACGACAGGATACAACTTACTGATACAGCTGCATTGCAACTAGTCTTGATGGAAACACTGATTTCTTTAGGTCACTTAAAGCTTTGATGAGTTATTAGTAAAAACCAGTGTGCAGCTAGAGATCTAATTTTGGGAAATTTACCCAGTTTTATGAAGTAGCAAATATGTTTTGAAATAAAATAAATTATAATAGTGCAAGTATTATGCAAGAGAAGACCAAATATACCTCACAGGCAATTACTATTGAATGAAAGGAAAGTCTATTGGGTCTATCATTATACAATTTCATGATGATTGTGATGAATTATTATTTTATTAACTTTTCTCATTAACGTTTCATATTACATTTGAAGTAGAACCTACTTACTGAAATTGTTGCAAATAGTGCAAAAATACTATTCTAAGCTGCTTTGAGAAGTATTCCGATTTATTTTATATTGTATATTGTGCCAAAAGACACATTGGAAGTGAGAGAAGCTGTCTCTGATTTACTTTTATGACTGTACCTCTTCTTCTGATATTATTCAGTATATTATTCTTTATATTTCTGTATGGTCACCATTAACCTCTAAATCTACCACCGGGAAAGATGGCTCAGGTCGGTAAAAAACATGTACGAGCAAAAACATGTACTAAACTTACGGAACCAATGCCCCTGCTAGTCTGGAATCTCTAAATTAATCAATCTACCTATTTTTACATGCTTAATTTGATATGCATTTCTTATATTATTTTTTTTCACTATACATTTGTAGGAAACCAAATTATTTCTAGAATTCCATAATTTTCTAGAGGTTGCAACGAAAATTAGGAGATCCATTTAAATTGTAAATTGAATGATAAAGTCAGAATAATTTTAAGCTGCTTAAGAACAAATTCCCTAGGATATTCTTGGGATTTGTGAGAGTTAGGTATCCTTATGTGCTTGGTGTTGATTTGAGGATAAGATGTTATCAGTATTACAACTTGGTTTACTTTAAAGACTGATAAGTTGTGTAAAGATGGCAATGTACATTCATAATCTAATCAAATTACACTTGCATTGTGACATGTGTAATTGAAGTATATTAGATGCCTTTGAGCTAAAGCTTGGTAAACAATTCAGGAGTAAAATCTAATAGTGCTATTTTGAGGATCATTAAAATATTTTAATTTAGGTGGGGAGTACTTGAAATAAAGCCCCTATGACATTTTCAATCTTCTGAAAAAGGCTGCAATTTTTTTTCCTTAGGGTTTGTTCACATAGAGAAAAGTGCATTTACAAGTGTATGGTACAACCACAATTTTCATTAAAACATGTAAAAATTGCAGAAGTTCAAATATTTTTTTGATTGTGTCCTATACCACAATTTTCATCCTCCAGTATCCTTCAGTTGTTTTTTTAATGATATCATAAACTTTTTATAAATGTGAGGAGTTGTTGAGTTATAACACGGAAGTTTTGGTATTGTGCCTATTCCTTCTAGTTTTTGTTTATTCATTTACTTACCTTATTGTGAAAACTTGGTTTCTGTGTTGTATTGCAGCAGCCCTGAAATTATAGTTGTAAGTGTGGAAGTATTGAATAATGTGATTTATGTGTTTGAGAATTGGAATAATTATTATGGAATGTCATTCTGGGAAGAATTGTGAGTACATTCTCTTTAAAACGCCACGTAAAATAAGGCAAATTCAATTCAATTCAAAAAAATTTCATAGAAAAATAAAATATTTGAATTACTTGAAAGGGTATTTATATTCTTCAGGGGTGCAAATCCTGTATAAATGTCATGTTTTCTGAGCACATGCTGCGTTTCAGAATTTACCATTCCAAATTTTGAGAATGAGGTGATCAAAACAGGAATTAATTTTTTTTTAATTTCTTGATCTTCTTGGCTATGCAGGGATATAGTGGGAGAAGTGAATTACTGATGCCATTCTGCTGTGGCTTTCATGGGAGATGGTTGTTGCTGAGTAATACAACTCCAAGGAAGATTAAAGAAAATGAGTTCAAATTTAAACCAAGGTCATTGGGATTAATTGCAGAACTCTTGTAACAGTGTTTAAATTCTTGCGTTGTAGCTACTTCTGCTTTCATAATAAGATGTTGCTTCCTAACATGTACATTGTATGTATCTTTTCGCGATCCTTCTTTTTTATGCTTTTGAGGCGCTTGCCATTGAAATTATTTGTGTAACGGTGTTGGTATCTTGTTTCATTGCGGTTTAGAAATGTACGGTGAGACATCAACATAATGAAGAGTGCAGTGACCTCATCACCATGGAGAAGCGTATTCAGGTAGAGCATTGGAAATGCATAGTCATGGAGACATAGTCCAAACGTTCATAGACAGTCTTATTAATTATGAGTACATATGTCTTTTGTTAAAAGAAAAGAAAAATAACACAAAAATGTCTGTTACTTTTGAGTAATGGTTTGATATTGAACTTCTGGGACTGTGTTTTCATTGCTTGCAGAATCTGTTTTATTCAGTTTAGTTGGCTGTCCCTGCATCTAGCATGTGTTCATGTTGGTTGCTTGGTGTCTTGCAGAGAGCAGCTGGATGGTGCAGCATTGATTACTATAGAATTTCACTAAAAAGTGAAGTACTGTATTGTATTTTAAAAATGGGTACTTTAAAAAAAAATGAATCTACTGTTTTGTTCTCAGTATGTACATAACCCTTGGCTTTGTTTTTATAGTAAATTCTGTCATGATCACAGGGTCAATATGTTGGTTTGTTAATGCTAATTGTATTTAAGGTATAAGGTTTGCAGAAATTATTCTGCTTACATTGTTTTTTGTTCCTTCTAATTTCTTGCATGGTATGGTATGAGTAATTTTAAAACTTGTTTGTAAATTAGCCTTTCTTCTTTATTTTCATAGTTTGAATTGTCTTCACCCATCATGTAACAAGCAGTTTTAATAGAAAAACATTGTATAGAATTTCCTTTATATCCTGCAGCATTAGGCTTGTGTTCCCATTTTGTTAAAATATACATATGTTTTAATCTTAATTGAAATAATTACTTCATTGGTGAAAGATACTCATTAGTGCTTAGAACTTGCTTTGTTTTATAATTCGACTCGTTTGGATGCACTTCCATCACAGTAAGTGTTTGCACAAAATAAAATTGTGGAAAAGAGCAATAAATCGACAGCACAATAAGCACATTATGTCACGGGCCCAGCATGTCTTGGTTAATGTGAAACGTAATGTCTGCTTTAGTATTACATTGATTTTTAACTTAAGACTGTTAAGAATTCTTCCACATATCTAGATTTTTTTCAGAAGTTTATATTTGTGTTTAAAGCATAATTTTAATCCCTTCAATTTGAAGACAGCTTGCTTCAGAATAGCTAAGGTTAAATAAGAAATAATAAACAAATTATAACTTCCAAAGTTTCCTTGTGTGCTGTTTGTGTTTAACTAATGCCTTTATGAATATGAATTGTACATGAACATGAGCATTTTTGTTGCCACTAACCATTGGCTGACTAACTCCAGGCAAAACAATTTCTACGTTTGTTAATTAGTCTTAAATAAATGCTTGTGAATGAAGGAATATAACAGTGTGGTAAAAATAGTTGTATTTTTGTAGGCTTCTATGCTTATGATTTTCTTGTAGCAATGTTGAATTCATCAAAATTAACAGAATGCTATTTAGAGTGGTGCATAGTAGAGACACAAATGTTTGTTCCAGTTTCCAATTGAGATGTCGATGCCTTGGATTCTTACAGACCACATTCTGAGAACCAAGGAACCATCAATGATGGAGTACGTAAGTTTGTATTTTAATATGTGTTATGTTGTTGCATATTTACACAAATGAACTTGCGAATTTCCTTTGCAGGTATGTTCTCTATCCTTTGGATCTGTACAATGATAGTGCTTTGTATGCATTGACGGTCTTCAGAAAGCAGTTCCTTTATGATGAAGTGGAAGCTGAAGTTAATTTGTGTTTTGATCAATTTGTATATAAGCTAAGTGAGCAAATTTTTGCTCATTATAAACAATTGGCATCAAGGTTTGTAAATGACATAAATGCAGTTATTGGAATGGTTTGTACTGATGTGTAATCCTGTTCTTACTTACTTTTTAAGCATTTTATTAGACAAGAGATTCAGAGTGGAATGTGTAGCACAAGGTACTTATCTTCTGGCATATCCAAGAGCAAATCGTTATGAAACACTTTTGAAGCAAAGGCATGTTCAACTCTTGGGTCGATCCATTGATCTTAACAAACTTATAACTCAGAGAATAAATGCAGACATGCAGAAGTCATTGGATCTGGCCATTAGTAAATTTGAAGCTGGAGATATCACAGGAGTTGTGGTAAGTTGTACAACTTGTATCTTTACAGACATGCGTTATATATGTATGTGCAGATTTTATTGCCTGTTTTTTAATTTTAAAAATATATATGTATATTGCAGGAATTGGATGGATTGCTTCAAGTGAATCGTTTGTGTCACAAATTGTTATCAAAATTTTTGGCTTTAGATGAATATGATGCAATGTTTCGAGAAGCAAATCATAATGTTCTTGCTCCTTATGGTAGAATAACTCTTCATGTATTTTGGGAATTAAACTATGATTTCCTGCCTAATTATTGCTACAATGCTGCAACAAGCCGGTATTTTCTTTTTTTAATCATTCCCAACAAATTTGTGTGCAAACAAACAAAACTGTATTATTTTTCAGTATGTTTAGAGGAAAATATTGAATTTCAGATTTGTGCGATGCAGAGGAATTCAATTTGCTCAGCCAGTGCATCGAGATAAACCACCTCAAATGGGCCACCACTATCTATGGGGAAGCAAGCAATTGAATTTGGCTTACAGCACAATATATGGGCAATATTCTGGTAAGAATTGTGTGCATTAATCAAAGGAAACAGGAATATTAAGTAATTGCAACATTTTAACTTTTTTCACTTGTAAATACAGGTTTTGTGGGTGCACAACATTTTCGTACTATGTGTCGCTTGCTTGGCTATCAGGGTATTGCAGTTGTTATGGAAGAATTGCTAAAAATTGTGAAAAGTCTTTTGCAAGGAAATATACTGCAGTTCACTAAAACACTAATGGAGGCCATGCCTAAAGTGTGCAAACTGCCACGTTATGATTATGGATCACCAGGTAAATGCTTTAGATATCCTATTATATCACAGTTTGCTACAGGAATATTACATTAGTATTATTCAGCTTTATTTACCTTAACTACTACTTTAATACCTCGAAACACTTTCATTATTGGGTCACATAATTCTGCTTTCTTATTTTAACTTTTACTATTACAAATTTGATTTCTGTACATGAGCAGATTACTTCTACAGATGTCTTTTTCTTTGATTATTTTTTAATGGAAAATATACGAGGTTCAAAGATGCACATTTCTGTAACTTGGGCACATAAAAGGATGGGTCTATTGGTGACACATAGAGATGGAGTCAACCAATGGAAATTGTGATATTAACTCTGAAGGCTATTCCTTGTCTCGTTTCCTTAGTTATCGGTTATTGTTAAAGTAATAGTTGTTGTTTTTTAGATGATTCATAAGAGGCGAAGAGCATTGGAATAAAGCAATATAATAGAAATAGAATCTCAGAAAATTATTGACTCTGTTAATTACATTGCAAAAGCAGATGGCTGTTGTATCTTGATAACAACAATAAGCTGTATTACAATCCCTTTATTGCATGGTAAAGGAGCTAATACAGAAAGAAGGTTCACTTAAAGGAATATGAAATTAATATATGATTCAGTTCATTGTATTGAAAATGCAGTATCTAGAGTAGTGTGGACATTTTCAGTTGGATATAGATTCATGCAATTGAGACTGAATTTTTATATGAAAGTGGATTCAAAGGAACACTAACCAGACAACTCATAAAACATTTTTTTATTGCTTGCATGTAACAAACAAATCCAAGGAAAAAATAAGTTTTAATGAAATGGAGTTTAAATTCTTTCTGGTATTTATATTTGATTGATTTGAATTTTTTCATAAATTCTGGGTGTTTACGACAAATTTCAAATTACACAGCAAATTAAGACAGCAACTTGACAAATGCGGCAAGAGCAATTGTGAAGAAACAAGAAATTTCTGGCAACAAATGAGCAACATGTTGTGGGTGGGGATAATATTACCCTTCCTTGCACATATCGCTACTTTTCTAGAGTACTGTTGTATCTCACAAAACACAATTCTTTTGTCAAAGAGACCACATTTTTTCCCCCCACAACTTTAGTTTTTCATTAATCAACAATATTCAATCAAATGTATCAAAAAATTGTTTGTCCCCTGCTTTTTACTTTCCGATATACATATGTATATACAGTGTAATATACATAGTATAGAGAAAGTTCTGTAGTGCTGTGGAAAATGGATTTCGAGATTTGAACGGAAATACAAGTTTTTGGGTTCCCTGATACCAAAATAGTGTTGTTTTTTCAAAACATCCGTCTGTCTGTCTGGTGTATGTGAACAACACCAGCGCCTGAACCATAGGATTTTTGCCTAGTTGAAGAAACCCCTGTCCAATTGGCATGAGTTGAAGTTCTGTGGTTTTGAAAATCATTCATTAATTTTTGGGGGTACTTTACATGAAGCCCGAGACATTTTCAAATTTTTTTCTTTAAATTTCTTGTAAGAAGAGTAAAATATACTTAAAAAAATGGCATAGGTCCCATTTTCATGGTTAACTCTGAATTTTCGAAAATTTCAAAAGTTGGAATTTTTTTCAGGGTTTTTAACTACAAAATTAAAGATAGAGATTTTTTCTTCAAATAAAATTTGTTGTTCATAATGTGTTATTTCATCAAGGTCATGTACATTTTTTTGAAAATTTTAGTAGTTTTACTGCAGTATTGCAATTTCAAAAAATTACAATAACAAGATTGTCTCAAAAACCACTCCTTTTTCTTTAAACTTGTGCTAAATGCACCTAATGAGATGTCATACTATTCTTTTATTTTTTCATAATTGACAAAAATGTAATGTCTTCTCCCATGTCCTTAATTTTTATATTAATGACAAGTTGATCACAATAAATAATTAAATAGGCTTTAAATAATGTCCTAAAAAGTTTCACAAAAACTCAAGTTTTCTGTGAAAACTAACTCAAAATATCACATTTTCAGAAACATTAAAATGTCATTTTCTCTAAAATGGCTTCAAATTTTCTCTTAAAGCTTTTCGAAAAGATAGTGCTAATTGCACTCTTTAATATTACGTAAAGTTCATTTTTGGGGTAATTTTTTGTTTTAAAAAATTACACAAATGTAATTGTTTTGAAAGATCTCTCGCGGTGATAATATTCACATTTCCAGCAACTTGTATTCGCGAGTTAAAGTGCTTCTAATAAGGTTTTTTGAAAACTCAAACATTTTCTGTGAAAAAGGTTCAAATTTCGAATTTACTGTAGTGTTTAAGTTCTATTTTCTTAAAAACTGCTCAAAATGTTTCAAAGAGAATTGCCATCTAGGACAAGGTTTTACTGTTCTTTAATATTCTTAAAATATTTCCATTCTACTATTAGGAAACCGAAAAATTAAGACAATTTCAAAAGAATGTACTTTGGGCAGCGATAGATGGCAACAGGCAATAATATGTGGCAAAGTTGGAATAGCTAATCAAGACCAAAGGAAATAGAAAACTATAGGAAAGTTTGCGCCATTCTGTGGCAGAATTAAATTTTGAAAATAGATTTTAAAAAACTGAATTTTTTGACGTTATTCCATAAAAATTAATGACAATCTCCATCCATGAAATAGTGATGCGTCTGCTACCAAGTGGCAATTCATGTAATGTCAGGGATAATTTTTTATGTGAAAAAAATGTTTTATCTTTTTTAGTTGATTTATTATTTTTTGAGTTATAGCAGTTTTGTGGAAAAGGGGCAATGTGTGCAGAGGCCTCATTGCTGCCGTTACATTTAAAAAACTAATAATCAGCTGTGTCTGGAGAAATAGTTGCAGAGAAAGATTACAGATTAATATTAATTGAGAAAAGAGTATCTGATGCCTTTGAACAGAGAATAACATTAAGCACAATATAATGTACAGTAATCTCAATCTTCAGTGCATGCATAAATGCTCAAAAGTGATATGAAACTCAAATTCCACGTGTGCAGAAGATTGAGATTGTTGTATACTATGCTCTGTTCAAAAAGTCTCCAACGAAATAGAGCATGAGGCTAGAGAGTAGTTTAAGTAGCTACAGTTGAAGTAATTTATTGATATCATATCCATTTTATGTCCATATTTTGATCATTGTTAAATTTAATATGACCTTTTTCAGTTATAATATATTTTACACAACAAGCATTACTGTCATATTATTATATATAAATTTATCAAACAATTAATATTTAGTTAATCATCTAGCAGTCACACCAGAAATCTTACATTTAAATGGTTGCATTAGGTGCCTGCAACATCACATAGTCACTTTTCATCTGGAAAGAACTAATATTAATTATAGCCTAAATTTTAGATAATTTAATCATGTTTTTCGAGATACTTTTTAGGTCTGTTACACCAAAATGTCTTCTAACAAGACACCCTTGTAATATGTATTTCTTCAATGTCCATTACGTATACTGTTTTATGTTGCCTTATAACTTCATACATTCAATGTATTCACATTACAATATAAATAAATCATTGCAATCATCCACCTCTGATACTATTTACAATACAAAAGTGATTCACACTTGTGATCATGTAATTTTTTGCATTATTTGAAGCAGTTATTTAATATTTTATCACACTACTTGAAGATGAAAATGTAAACACATTTGCCCACTCTGGAATTCGAACTCGAGACACTTAGTTTTAGTAAGAAATTAGTGAAACCACTTTGTGAACAGTTGGCATAACCTTTGCAATGCTTAAAATAGAAAGTTTAACGGATTTTGAAAATTCTAAGATTTCAATGCAAATCAGACCTGCACGTTTAAAAAAAATACTTTTTGCTCTGTTTGAGGATAGAATTAAGGATCAGAATGTGTATAATGGCTAATAAATCTAATGTAAATTTTTATTTGTAAAGTGATGTAGCTTTCAGCAATGATGTGAAGAGAAAACTTTTTAAGTTGGATTGATTTCTTATACTATTTAATTAACATTTGTTATAATTCTCTTTATTTCCATTAAATTAAAAATAAATAAATAAATAAACAATTTAGAGCCAATTTGAGATAATATTGAAAATGCCATTGAGGTCTCAAGTACCCCTCAGAATTAAAAAGTCTATTTAATATTCACAGTATCATAAGTCCAGTCAGCTTAAGGAATATCAGTTTTGGAGAAATCGCTATCAACAATTTAGGTGCACTAATAGGTTTCTTGAAAACTAGTGTTTTGGTGTCAACATGGATTCTGAGTATACAACATATTAGAGGAAGTAATTTTGTACATATACGAGCAAGAATTATCTTGTTTTTCTATCAAATCATCACCAGTTTTCGCTGCTTCATAGCATAACTTTCTCTACACCATGTAGTTGTAAATAGCAATCCATTTGTAGCGTCTTTGTGCTCATTGGAACATACTAATTTATGGTATCTTCTGAATTGCTTAATATCTTAATTTAACTAGTGTAGATCTTTAGTAAAAGTTCATCACAATGAAATTATTTTTGTTTGTTGCTTTGAGGAAGTTAGGGTGTGCATTTATTACATTCAATACAAGTTACTTTTATCTTCTAGGTGTCTTGGGTTACTACCATGCTCAGTTAAATGATATTGTGCAGTACCCTGATGCAAGAACAGAGATGTTTCACAGTTTCCGAGAACTAGGAAACACAATTCTTTTCTGCTTATTGATGGAACAAGCATTGTCTCAAGAGGAAGTGTGTGACTTACTTCATGCTGCTCCTTTCCAGAATATTTTGCCTAGACCATATTGTAAAGGTATGGTGAAAACAAAAACTTATTCCAAGCAGAACAGAATTGCAGACATTTATTAATGTTTTACATTACAGATGGAGAGAAACCTGAAACGAAACAAAAGAGATTGGAAGCCAAGTATTCTGCTTTACAGATTGTTCCTAGTATTGATAAACTTGGCACACCAAAGGTAACTTTTTAAAAACATTAATCAGTTTTTTGTCATAAAACTCTGTACATGTTGAACACTTCAAAGTAAAAAGTAAAACCCTCTATTTTGCAGCAAGCTTTAATTGCCCGTGAGGGTGATTTGTTGACTAGAGAACGATTATGTTGTGGTTTGTCAATCTTTGAAGTTGTACTCAGCCGTCTGCGTAGTTTTTTGGATGATCCTATATGGGTTGGCCCACCACCAACCAATGGAGTCATTAATGTTGATGAATGTACCGAATTTCATCGTTTATGGTCAGCTCTTCAGTTTGTTTATTGTATTCCAGTTGGGGATACTGAATTTACTGTGGAGTAAGCATCCATATGGTCACTTTTCTGAAAGTCTATGTTTGATTATATTTTGTGTGTGTGTGTCTGATTGTTGCACAAACTAGAGGTTTTTGAAATTTTCATGAAAAATATAGCATGTCTTTAGTTCCAATTCCTTGACACTTACATTTTCAACGTTCTTCCAACTTTCTCATACAGTACAAAATGTGACACTTCGTATTCATTTTATTTCAGAGAATTGTTTGGTGAAGGTCTAAACTGGGCAGGGTGCACAATGATTATTCTGTTGGGACAGCAACGCAGATTTGAAGCACTTGATTTTTGTTACCATATTTTGCGCGTACAAAGGGTAGATGGCAAAGATGAAATGGTGAAAGGAATTGTAAGTAAATGTGTTTTGTAATTGTTTTTGTGATTGCAATATTTCCCAGAGTTAACAGATTTATGTGCATGTATAAAATTTGTTTCCCAGGCATTGAAGCGCATGGTGGATCGAATTCGCCGCTTTCAGGTGTTGAACTCGCAGATATTTGCTGTGCTCAACAAGTTTCTGAAGTCTGGCGACTCTGATGTTATGTCAGTAGAGCATGTCAGATGCTTTCCTCCTCCAATTCACCCCACTTTAGCAGCACAGGCACATTACTACCGGCCTGAAAACATCAGACAAACTGTGCAACATTGAAATTTTACTTGTATTGAGATTTAGCAGTGCATTATGTTCAGATAAAAAAAACTGCTTTGTCATCCATTGTACACTGAGAATATTTTCTGTGGTTTGCAATGAATTTAGAAAAGGAATAACCATCTCCCCTTGTATTAACAGGGTCTCCTTTCATAGTAAGGGAAAGATGTAAACATTTGTAGGAACTTTTCATATTGAATTTACAGTGTATTTATTGTTTTATGGAAATGTTTAGTCTTTCCAGCTTGTTATTGCAGACTGTCATGTTGATGCCTATGCATATTTTCTTTTGCAAATAGTTTTGTTTCACAAGACAAGTTTGTTATTTTTTTCCCTTCTTTTACTATATATTGTGTAGAATTCAACTAGGTTATGTAATTAATAGTGGACTCTGTCCTTGTATACTAAATGTTCAGAACTTTGTCATTTTTAGTGCAAGACCATAAACTATGCCTATCATTAGAGCTAAATGTTTGCAACACTTTTTTCAGTGCAAATATTATGTCATCTGAATGGTGTAGTAGTACAAGACCTGATCGAGGACATGTGATTGGTATCAGCCTATAGTTGGCAATGGACAATTTTTGTAATGAAATTAACCAGTACAATAGAGCCTACCAGGTGTGGGGAAAGAGGAAGCCGATGTGTTCCTTCTCACAAAGCCTAAGACTGAGATGAGTCCAGTATTCTGAACATTGCAAATTACTATGCCAATTTTCTCACTTTCATTTGGAGTGTAAGTAACTACTCTAAAACAGGAAATGTGTGCCATTTGGCTATTTATTGTAGTTGCGAATATCATCAAGCTAAGAACTGTATTTTTATCAGTATTTATATGGCACTAATGTGCATGTTAATCAAATGTACATAGCAATATGTAGTTAAGAAAATAATTTTCATTTATTACATTCCTATTTTATATTGTCGTGAAAAAGAAAATACATGCCAAAGGTTTATACAAAGCTTGTTTTTAATACCATAACATACCATAAGTACTTCAAAATTTGAAAAGCATTTGTAACTGCTTATTTAAAATACTTGTGACATTCTTTTCAACAATTTATGCCATGTCAGCAAAGAAGTCTGAAGCATTTTTGTACTTGGATGATGGTAAATTGTGACTTTGGGTCTTCTTCACAGATTTCTTCTTTCCATCAATTTCTATATCTTCAAAATATCTTATCCTCCAAAATTTTATTAACTGATCGTGACCATAGGATGCTATTAAATCTCCATCATGGGATATGTCAACACATTCAACAGGTAACTGATGTTGTCCTGCTACCCCCAAGTGTCTGTGAGGGAAAAGATGAGTTGCCCTGTGGACGAAAACAATACCAGTTTTAACCAATTTAACAATACCAACATAACCTGTAAGTGGTAACATAATAGGTAATACCAATATTTCAGACCCTGTGTTTTGTTTCAACATTATTCAATGTTTTTATTGAAGCAGTAAGTAAAATATACTTACTGCTTCAATAAAAAATGTTCACAGAAATTCAGGTCTAAGACCTTCAGGGCAAATTTACAACAATGGATAAGAAAAATTACAGACTGATGTTATTACAGAGAGAATCTCAAATGTGGCATAGCTCTGCAGTCGAAGTTCCAACGTAACCAGTATAGTCAAATTAACAAAAAGAAATAAGTGATAGCATCGGTCTCTCAGATCCTACCACTAAGGGTTAATAACATAGCATAATTGCATAGTATGCATTTCTTAATAACTACATTGACAAAATTGAATTCTCTCCAGTGGTAAATTTAACATTTTTTTTTATTGGTGATATAGTGTACTAAATTAAATATGCATCATAGTTGATTTTGAAACAATTTGTAGCATGCTGTGACACTAAAGTGGAATATCTACATTTCAGTTCTTGTATCTTTCGAACCAAAATTATGAAATAATTTTTACAATTTATTTGGGTGCATTTTAATTGTAACTGTTGAAATAATTTCATATTATTCAAAGCATTAATTCTGTCAGCCAACTCTTCAAAAATATGGAATTACATCTTTACCTTAATATTCCATCCTCACATGCAGTTAAAATGATATTTTCAGTAATAGGAATAAGACTATTTATTCCTTTTTTGGGATTGGGGAATTCATCACTATGATATCCAAATTCACCCCAATTGAAGAGATACACTGTTCCTTTTGCAGTGGCAGCTACAAGTTTCCTGTCATGTTTCACTGTTGCTAGCCCAGTGATTTCTGTATTGTATGGTTCTGACTGTGAAAGAATTTTGGGATATAAAATAAATAAGTTCTTAGTTTTTATTTGCAAGCATATTTTAATGTTTTACCTGTATATGCAATTTCCGCATTCCTATATTTAATGATGTAATTGTTCCATCACCACTTGCACAAACAATAAATTTTTTAGCATCATTGGTTATCATGCAACTCACATAATCTTCCATTTCTTTCAAAGAAAATATAGCATCTTTTTTTCTCATGTCCCACACTAAAGGATAAGAGACAAATATTAGAAAGAAAAGAAAACTTCCCATAGTACTAATAATTAAATATTAAAAAATTAGAGGTGCCTGATATTTCCCCTAAACAATACCAGGCACGTGTTTCATTCAAATTTCAAATAATAAATGTATTTCCTCTGTTCAGTAATGGCCAAATTATTAGAAACTCAAGAGAAGGAAGAATACCTTTATACTTGATTGAAAATACACTAAACAAGACTGTTTCGCTTCCTCAGAGCATATAATACACTACACAAACTAGTTAAAAATATATTTTGGGAACATTTCCATATTGTTAGTTCTTTTATTCTATTAGGCTTCCTGTACATCAGTTTTTGATACTTCCTTTTGATTTCAGTATATACTACATAAAATTAGCAGTTGTTCTTCTTGGAAGAACTACTTTAATCTTCCTTTTTTTAGTTTTTTCTTCAGTTAGGATCAAATATTTCCAAAAAAGTTGATGTCTGCACTAATCCAAGGGTATAGGAGTGTGTGCTCAACTTCTTGAAGATAATTTGTAACTTATGTCATAATAACAATAAAAACAATTGATTTATATTTGCCAAAGAACAGTAAAAACTGTATGTGACATGTGAGGAAGAAGTATGAGCTGTACACATTCTCCTGAGCTCCAAAATATATGATAATATATTTATAGTAGTTATATGATGAATAAAAGTAACATTAAAGCAAGGTTATCAACCTTTGAAAACTTACTTGTATTGGTAAATGAATTATAATTTGGTTTTTTAGTGTTGCTGCTATCAAAATTGCAACCGACATCCCCAGTTCTACTCCCACTACAACCAGCAAAATGAGTTTACCAAAACGTGCACTTAGTGAAGCTTACATTTATGTCCAGAAGCCAAACAAGGGGCCTTCTCAACATTTGCTCAATGGATCGGGATAATAAATCTGATTGAGATGGGGTCACTAACCCAGAAGCTGAAGTATATTACTTGTTATAAACATATTCAGTCTTTACAAAATTGTGCAGTCCAAACGTAAAAATACACTATCATTGTTAATAAAATTTATATAGATCATCATATCCGTGCCTAGAATGTGGGGCCTTCTGGACAGTCAGGCATATGCATAACAGTGTCTATTTTAAATAATTGTCTAAAAAAGTAAAGGGATGTCATAAACTTATAATCCAAAGACAATCAAACAAATTAAGATAAAATTTTATTTACAAATTAATACCAATGAAAACATAAATAGAACAAATTCATATATATTTAAAGAACACATAGTAACACTAGAACACCCAAGAATGCCATTTCAACAATAGCATCATTTCATTTTGCATTATAATTTTAAAATTTGTCCTTAAAATATTTTGCAAGTCCTCACCACTTTTAGATGTGTTTCACTAGGTATAAGATTTTTTTTATCTTTAAAATTTTAATTTTTATTGAACAATATACCTAACTTGCCCATGATGGCCCATCATTTTGATGCTAACATTTTGGAACTGTCACATATTTTGTATTTTGGCACATTTCACTAATCACCTCTGTCTATTATAGTGAGATTTTAAATTTCATATTGCTTAATTTATAACCCAATTTTGATTTCTGAGTTCAGGAAAGCATTTCATGTCACGTAATTGTTTTTAAGTTGATTCAGTTACATCCCTTTTATTAAGGTAAGTGTTGGTTTATCCACACTATTATATTAACCCATTATGGATGGATTTTTTTTAATTGGATAATTTGTTTAAGTTTAGTTTACAAATAACATCTCAAAAGATAAGAATCAATAAAAGTCGGTTTAAAATAAATTTTTTAAAATTTTACTGAGAAAAAAGTGTATATGGTCATGCTTGTCCTTCATGAGAACAAATAACACATATTGTAATAGATATGCAAATTATTTCATATGAAAAATTACAAAAAACTGAATATGCATCTCTAATTTACATTTAGAACATTCTTTTCTACCAACAATTGAACTCACTCCTCCAGCATGTCTGCCTCTTTTTTGATTTGGCATAGGTTTAATCAAATGATTATCATTGGAAATTCTATTGAGTGTCAAACTTCTTCAGAGCACTGGTGGCTCTTCCAGAATCTGAGAGAACTTTTTTAATTAGTTAGATAATCTGGAAATGAAGATTTGGTATTGATTGCCTTAACGATTTTTTGCACAATACCCATACATAGTCCACTGTAGCATATAAGAGCCAGGTGAAAATAGACAAATACTATTTTTCCCTCTTTATCGATTCTGTAGGCGGAAATGTCTTCATCCATTCTATCCATTCCTCCCATATATTTATTATATGCACATGTGAGGTTTGATCTGGTTATTATAATTTACTTCTCTGCAGCACTATCTTTTGACTCGTTTAAAGATTGTATCCCATAGAATGTTGACAGCGTACATGATACGAGTTACCTTTCCAGGCTACCATAAACAATCAATCATCTTTGTTTATTTTGGAAACGATAAAGACTTTCTTTTCGCATCACTTCTTTTTTTAATGTAATTCAAGACAATCTTTTGGGATCCCATTTGGTATCATTGTTCTAGTTCCTTCATATCCCCGCTCTATCAAATGCATAAATAAATTGAAACCGTTAAAAAAATTATCAAAATAAACTGATTTCTGAAGTTTCTCAGAGAGTTCATCTAACTCATTTACACACCTGTTGCTGGCTTGCCAAATGGATGATTCACAGACAAGTTCATATTTACTCTTTGAAATGACCTGATGTAACATTATATGTAACCCAAGGCCTAGCGTAACCATATGGTCGCACAAAAATTGTACTCGTAGCCCATTTCTTAAGCAATTCCTCTAACTTTTACATTAGTTATATTATTAAACTGTACTTCAAAGCCTATACGTTATTAAATAAGCAATGAAAAAAAAATATATTGAAAATATAAAAGCCACACTTGATCCAATATGTTGATTTCCAAAGGTATGAATTTTCCTGTCAACAATCAGCGTAACACCGGCAGGCACACATTCAACAAAGAGTTAATATGACTGATCGTTCAAACCTTGAAAGCACTAAATACAGCTTCTTACAACACGTTTAGATCATTGTAGTACTTGTGACATATGGTAACGCTAGTCCTTAATGGGTTAAATATGAAAGATTTTAAAAAATTTATCAGACGGGTCTTACTTTAGGTAAGATTCTTATTTCAATGCAAACTATTTCAGGTGATGTTATGGACGGACCTGAAGAAAATGACAATTAAGTCAGGTCCAACAATGAGTAAAAAGTGCCAGCTCCTAGTGAAATTAATTTTACATATTTGAGGACTATACATAAAATAATTCACTTACTATACATGAGAACTTTACAGCTGGTTGGTTAAATAATCACTTTCACAAATATCATATACAATATCAAGTATGTTACTTTGTTTTGCAAATTTTAATTTTTAAATATTTTATTTAGAATATAAATGATTGTACATACATCATATAAATAATTAAGAAGATTAATAAAGTAGTAGAAATCAATAATACTCAATATTGAGTTCGCATCACAGCAACCAACCAACACCACTGGGAAGTGTAGGTAGATACAGAATAAAATGCGTTCTCATGTTAATATTAAAAAAAACTACTACAATAACCTCTCAGCAATTGCTTGAACAAAAAGAAATTTAATGTTAAATATGAACCTGTTTACCCTGCCAAGGCTGTTGCAATTTATCTTATTGATTAAGATAAAGAAAATGAGTAGAAAAAGTCAATGAATGAAAAAGTAAGAAATATTAAATTAAATTGAATAAGTACACTTTATTACATATAACTATTAATTAAATAATATCACAAATTTGGAAAGATTGACAGGAATTATTTACCTACAATAATTTTTTGTGACTGGGTACTTTGTATTGGCCTTGTTGCATTTTTAAGTTCAGTGCAACAAATTATTTTTTATATTAAATGCATGAGAACCAAGACTATTCATAGATGTATACTTACATTTGACAGTTCCATCATCATCTCCTGAAGCCAGAATGTTTGGATTTACTACTAGAAGACTATACACAGGAGCGCTGTGAAAGGTCAGATATAATATAACTGAATTGAAGGTAAAAGATAACATAACTTAATTTCAAATTAAGTAAACTAAATACACTTACTCATGAGCATTTTCATAAACTTGTTTTAATTTCCCTGTTTCCATGTCAGATACCATGATTGATTTGTCTTTTGATGTGGAATATAATAACGTGCCATCATCATTAAATTCTACATCTCTGCAAGACTTTAAATGCAGTTCCAAAGTTTCAGAAAGTTCATTATTATCGTTGTTATATTTATACCTGAGACAAAATAAAATTTTAGTTATCAAGTTGTTAATTTCAATACAATACCAAGTGAACTTGTAACAACCTTACACTAATGCATCTCCTGTTACGGTAGCTGCAACTATTATATCTTCACTTGGATGGAAACAAATGTCAGTAACAAAATCTTCGCACTCAATATCTGCAGGATGTTGACGAACTTTATTCCTTTCTCTTATAATAGCTTTAACGACTTCGTCGTCCTCCTCTTCTTCATTCAAAACAATCGAGTCTTCTGCATTACTGCATTGAGGAATAATCTGTTCTGTTTCCTGTTTTGTTCCAGAATCACTTTCCGAACTACTACTGGAACTGTCAGTCATTGAAACATCAGAATCACTGTCGGACACATGCGAATCGTGGTCGCTTTCACTAGAAGGATCATCCAATTCTTTTCTTGGACACATTTTATAAACCGAAAGGTCTTTTGGCCAATAAAGTGTTCCCGGCGAAAACAAATTTCTCTCGCATTCACGTTAGTAGCACGAATACCGCTTTACTTAGTACGCACTTTTTAAAGAACCCTTCCTGACCTCCACCAGAAGGATCAAAAAGGCATCGACTCCCCAAACACTACACGTGCTTGCACGTGTGCTGGGGGGCGGAATAAAGACGGGTTGGCAGATGCTGCCAACTGCGTAACCAAAGTTACTGGCCATGGAAAAAGACGCCAAGACGTCCGCATTATCCGCAACCTGCAACCCTACGTGCCCTTATGTGGTGGTGTGCAATGGTATGAATCTAAACGTTACGGCCAATTTTATGTTGCATTAGCCGACGAACCACAGAAGTGACGCAGTTTTTATCGATTAATACTTTTCTTTGCAATGGATCAAACACAAAATTATTGACTTACGTAGAAGGGAGGTCTGAGGTGCATTCATGACAGCTAAGTGCAAAATTGTCGCATAGCAGTAACTTGTAAGGTTAATCTTGTAAACATGTATTTTGGAGTTAAACTTCCATCTCAGGAAGGTAAGACTGCTATATTAGGTACGCTTTCTTCGTATTGGCGTGAAGATTCATATAGTATTCGATAAACTGACCGGTACTACTGGGCCGACAGACCAGCTTTGCAAACTACATGGGGGGTATTGTACATCAAATGGTTTTAAACACATTTCATTAAAATGATAATTTACAATAGTTGAACTTAAGGTAGTCGTGCGTATATTTGTGCTAAGAAAAGAAACGAATTCAGAACGTTTTAACCAAGTTGTGACCGTGGCAATACATAATGTTCATGTTAGGTGTTCGACTTAAACGAAATATCACTCTTCTTTTGGCTTAGTTTCCGTTTTTTGTTATTTATGATTTGTTTCTGTGACCTATTTGACAGGGTAGGAATACTTGTATTGTAATATTTTTATCATTCAATATTTGGAGTGTTCATGTTACATTGTTTTTTTCTTAAACAATGTAGATCCTCAACATTAATATTGCTTATTTCTTCTGTTATAGGTTGAATAAAAGTATGTCATAACATTTGAATTGACAACTCTAGATGCTCCTCTGTCACAGTGTAAAATGGTTTCTCCAGGAATTTCTCAACACTTTTAGTACATAAAGAAGGTTTACAGCTCATGTAAATTTATCTGTCAGCAATGGAGGGACAGTCAATTTGTAACAAAGCTGCTATATTTTTCATGATAAGTTTCCGTCAACTATGTTTGATAACCGTGTCGTTACCACTCTGTGCATTGCTCATTTGCTTTATCACTGCCTATATCTTCCAGCAAGATGACATTCATGAAACACATTGTCGGGTATGTTGTTAAATTATAATTCATTAAAATCTGTTGTAAATATAAATTTTTTTCTGTATTTTTTGAAGATTAAGCACATTTTTGTAATTGTGAATTTTTTGTCATAATTTTAGTTTGTTATGGAGAGATAAATAAATAAAAACGATATTGAACTTTATGAAATATTTGTTATAAATTAATTCAAGCGTGTGTGTGCATGCATCATATATATTCTTGAAACATATATATTCTCTATTGTTGCAAAGAAAAATGTGAATTGGTGGATAATTGATGGAATTATGTTAATTTTCCTAAACTATCTTGAATCTGTTATCACAAACACTTTTGAAAGAAAGAAAAATGACAAGACAGTGTCTTATGTTGCAGGACGTAATGTCCAGAATAATTATTTTGTGAACACTTTAAAGGATTTGTGAAAATGTTACTACTATTGAGGGTTTGTGGAATTCAGTAATTTTTTGGGGCTTTACAGTTTACTAGCTTTTAATATTTTAATTTATTTATATGCTCTTCAAGGCTACTAAAAGGGTTTAATTTATCATTCATCTTAATCCAGTACATTTACTGATGTTGGGTTGGTGTGAAGTGATGTGATAGTAAATATGTTAAAAACTTTATTTAATCAGTTGTTCGTGAAATGCATTCTCCAACCCTCTTTCTCTCTATTTATAGTTATTTAAGAAGTTTTGTGGATTCTAACTTGCTTCCTCTTGTTTAAGGTTTATCAAAAGGACTAATTTTTATGATATTGTGGTTTTAATTTTATATCATTTTTGAGATTAGAAAAATGTAATTTTATAAAAGTGTAATTTCTTATTATGTATCTGTATTTGAATTGCATAACATCCTAATTATTGAATTAGTCATTCTTTTGGTTGTTAAATCTTCAATACACAAAATAAATGAAGGCTGGGAAAAATCTCAAAACTATTCGAAGATACATCATTTTTATCTCTATTTTAATTTTGTTAATATTTAGACCGATACAGCTGTAAATTTTTTCCTGATTACTTTATATTGCAAATGATTGCATAGGCTTCCATGACCAAAGTTTGTATTGTCTAGGCTATCTGAGTCTAGCCATTTCTCTGTCATGATGGCTGACATTTTGGCTAACATATTGTGGCCTTCCTCAGAACACTCTGCTGTACAGAGCTTCAGCTTCTATGACAAAGATGTGGCTCATTCTGGGTAGCCTAAACAAAACACTTTAAATTGCAGTCTCTATTGCGAATTTTGGACTTTCTTTTATAGTTCACATTTTATTTTAATACATTTTGGGTCATCAAAATCAGAGCCTTGCTTCTCACTGAGAGTTTCCAAGTCCTCTATAAGGCAAAAATAATAGTGCCAGTAAAACATATTTTAAATAAGCGTTTATGTTATCTATTTTCTGCTTGTGACCCTAATTGTACTTAAAATAAATATGCTATTAAAGTGAAAGTTATATATTTCTAGAATTTATTTAATCAATTAACAGCTTATTCTTTTATATGTAAATTTGGCGTGAACAGAATCTTTCATGAAGCACTGTCATGGTGAATTGATAAAAAGTTATGCCAAGTTTTTATTGTTTTTTGCGGTCCAATCTTGAAGCTAGTAATTATATTAGTAGCAGTGTGAGAAATAAAGAATTAGATTGTCAAATATTGAAAACAAACTCAAGAAGGGTTAACCTTTTTTTCAATTTCTTTAGTGGTGCAGGTTTTTTGTGAATCACTGTGATCAATGATGATTGCTATGTCTTTTTTTTTTAATGAAATGTTTAATTAAAATCACTTTAAAATAATTTTAATGTGAGAGACCATTGAATATGAAAAAATATGCTTACAAAATTTATTAAGATGTGGTGGTCTGCAGAATCCTTTGGTCTAGGCCCTTGACTGTTAAAGGGCACTTTCATCTAGTGACTAATAATGACAAATACATATACATGTTCATTAGTGATCATGTAACATTTTATGTTTTGTATAATATCTGCTTCTAATGTGAAGTCATTATTTACAGGTATACAATGTTATTCCTTCCATCAGTGCTATTACTGGTATTAGCCCTCAACGCTATTTATGGAGAATTTGTATTGCCTTCCATGTTGGACCACGAGTTGTTATTGCATCTGTATATCGATCATATTATCGTCAACTACTCTCTCTTTCCAAACATGCCACAGATGCAAAAGCCATACGCCTCTTGGATGTATGCTTCTGGCTGAATGTGGTAGAAATTGCTGCTTTATGTGGAGTGACATACATTTCCAATCGAGAGAATTACCGTAAGTGTACATGAAAGATAGAAATAAAAAAATATCACAATATTTTTTAAAATTTATTAAATGTTTCTTGATACGAGTGATTTGAGATGGCTAGTTTCAAATCCAGCAATCTTCACTTTCAAAAATTGAGTTGTTGGTAATATGACAATCTCTACATCATTGCATAATGTTCCAGTATAATCTTGTATAATATTTCAGTATCCCACTTTACAAAAAGCTTGTTAATTTTTGTAATCAAAATCAATATCAAAACCAAGTTAAATTAAAAAATTGGATGATTCTATGATGGTGATGTCCAAAAATACCAATTAGAGATGGAAAATGACTGCTTCCCAGCATAGATTTCCATTGTTATTGTTTGTGAAATAATTTGTCAATATGAACATCGTAAATCTCCTGTAACTTCTGAAGGAGATTATAGTGTTCAGAGTATATAAAATAGGGTTGATTAAAGTTGCGTCATGTATTGAAACTCAAATGTTTACTTTTCATTGTGTCAAAGTCAGCAAAATCCATATTCTGTTAGATCAAACAATTCTGTTATTGAATCTTCAATGTTGCAAGTTATTCAATGCCGATGTTCCCTGCAAAAAGGAATTCTTCTATCAACAATTATCCATCTAAGTAATTGTTAAAACTAATAATAAATCATTTAACTTGAAAACTGGTGATATGATTTTTGGCTTCTTTGACAAAATTATGAAAGCTGGGCATGGTTTGTTACTTACCCCATTATAAAACAAATTATTTTGATCTTCTAATTTATTAATCTTTATCTGCCTAAAATTGTATCATTAATAACCAAAAGTAAAATCACCATGTTAACATTTTGCTGTCAATATATTGACTTAGTATATTTTTTTATGATGAAATGATTGAGACATTGTATCTTGGAAGAATTTCATGATTCAAATACTCAAATATGGTTTTGATCACTTGAATCATTTGAATCCTAGGTATGAAATATATGGTAAATGTACCATGCTAAAGACTAATGAACTTCGCTTCCTACTCAGAGGCAGATCCAGCCGATCATTTGGGGTGGGGGGGCATCATTGATTTTTGTTAAATAATAAACATATTTGTTATTATACTGTATATTATTTATGTACTGTAGATATGATACTATAGAATATTATTATTTAAATAATTACATAATTCGAACATAAAGAAATATTTTAAATCAATTTTGCCAAATAAAGGAAGGTAAAGAAAATCATTGCCCCCATGGCCCTAACCCTGGCGCCACCAGTGTCCAAACTTACATAGAATATTTAATGTAATGTATTGGTTAAGTGTATGTAGTGTTTATGGAGGCTTGGCTCCATGGGGAGGGAAATTCCCCCTCCCAAAATTTTTCAGTAACTATACGTTTGAACTTGATACGAAACTTGCAAACAAAACTATTTCCATATAGACATTAAAACGCAACATGAACTGAGTTTACCCTTTGTCATTCTACATAACCTGAAATATGACAGATTTTACAGATATGACAGATGTAATATTTAGAATTTATTTCTTTTTTTTTAATTTTTCTCAAATAGTACATGAGAAAGTATTGTAATGCTGTTTTGACAAAAAATTAAAAACAAACAAACCAAAAAACACCTTTTTTGGTCCCTGATAGTGAAAAATTGGATAAGTCTTGTTTGTAATTGTAGTAAATAACTTTCTCTAACGTGTGTGGTTAGGATCCATGTTTTGTGAATTCTCATTATCGAAAAATGGTTAATGACAAAACATCTGTGAAATACTAATGGCTAAATTGCTTGCAAGATTTTGACCAGAATTAATATTCCCTGAATAATCTGGCTGATATTGCTGCACTTTGAATTTGAAACAGATAATTTGATTTTTGGGGGTGCTTTATATGAAGCTGCAAGAAGATTTTCAAAATTTTCTTAGCAATGGCTCAATTTTTTTTATATATTAGAGTAAAGAATTCTTATAAAAATAGGGCTGATCTAATTTTTGTTCAGTTCTTTGAATTTTCAAAAATTTCAAAAGTGTAAAACAATTTTCAGTGTCTTCCTACAATCATAGCTTTAAAGATAGAGATGTTTTCCCATAATGAAACTTGTACTTCAAAATTAAATCTTTAAATGAGATTACATACAATTTGTTTAAAATAATTGTAATTTTTGTGAAATTGTGCATGAAATAAGATTTATTCCTCCACAATACCGACTTGCTCCTTTCTGGTCACAATTACAAATTGAACAAAGCGAAAGTTTTGTGCAATCCATATCAATTTTTTCTATTGAGCAGAGGCATTGATCACTGAAATTGTCTACTGGTCTCTGTTGTCAATTCTTCTAACAATCACACATTTAAACATCATTTCGTCCAATTTTGTACTATTCTCTCTTGATCATTTTTTTTTCATGGCCTTTTCTTGGAGAATGGTGAATGTTTATATTTTAATTATCTCAAGTAAGAGTCCCAAAATATGTGAAAATTTTTTTGCTTACAAATTTACACATTTCTTTCAATTTAAGTACATAGAAGAGTTGCCATCTAATGTACCACCAAAAAATTAAATTGACAGTGAAATACCAATAATATGTCATATTGTAAACATACGTAATATTTGTAAGGATTTTTATCATTATTATTTCTTTTTATTAATCTACACAAAAAAGCTGATTTACTGACTGAAAAAAGCTGAAGTAAAAAAAAATGTCAATACTGCAGACTTGAATGGATTTTGTATGTGGCCCAAATGAGTTAGAAAATAGGATACCTAATTTCAGAGGGCATTTCACAATGTTTGGAGGTAAGAACATTAAGAGAATTCCTATTTGAATTTTTTGGGCATGCAATGTAAAAAATATCCACTTATCTTTTCCTTTGTGCATTAAACATTGCAATAGCATCTGCTGCTTTGTTTATTTTTAAAGAAGTGAACAAAAACTTAATTGAACTGTCCCATAAATCTATGTTGTGTGGAGGCCATCATTTCATTAAACATGCCTCAAGAGGTCAACTGCATCAATCCACATGTGACTCTCCTGAGTTACTTGCAGTTGTATTGCAATAGAAAGAGATGCAATGTTCCTTAGACAAGGGGGTGTAGCACTCAAAATTTGGGCCAATACACAATGTTTGATCAAATACACTCAATCCTACCACATAACTGAATCCAAACATTGTGTACATTTATTTTTATATTTTTGAATCATGACATTTGTAAATAATGTTTATACACTTTCTGCCATTGTTTATTATCATGTAATACTTAGTTATATGATGAAGGATCAGTTCTACTCATGAAAAGTTTGCCTTATTGATGGGGAATGATAGTTATGTTGTTGTGTCTAAGTATTGGAAAATTATAATGTTCAGTAATGATGAGTTCTTCTTGATGGGGGCCTTTTTCTAGTACATCCAATAATTTACAGACTGATTTTGGTGAGCAATTTTAGGCTTTCCTGGAGCAGGTCACAAAAATCCAGATACTATCTTGTCAAGGATGATTAGTATTAATAATTTCTGTAGTTCTGTGGATATTGCTCTGCCAACAGATAAGTTAAGACTGAGTGATGACCGACCATGTGATATGAAAATAGAAATGGCCAAAATCTCCCTTCAGGTCACAAGAGGCAGTTTCAAAGGAATGTTAGGAGTTGAGGATTCTTAAATTGAGAATACTTTAATTAGTTCAGAAAGACTTTCATTGTGTTCTAATTTTAATGTACTCACAGAATTCAAATGTAGCATTGCATGCTACTCTAACATTTCAAAAATATATCTTACATTTTGGATAAAAATTGTGCAGATAAATTTTTCAATGAAGATTATTATTAATATTATTGACATCTTAAAAACATTATATATTTGCTTTTATAGAAGTATTGTTGTATCTCTGAAGTGAAAATTGAGATTTTCATGTAATTTTTTAATTTATGTTGAAATTTTGACAATTGTTGCTTTGCAGTGAATGCATCATTATTTCATGGGCAGAGATTTCCATTTAGTTTCTTGGAATAATGTTGCCCAAAACTTTCAACATAAGCAAATCCATTTTAATAATAATAATAATAATAATAATAATAATAATAATAATAATAATAATAATAATAATAATAATTTAACAAAAACAACCAAGGGACATCAACAATTTTTTGATATAACTTGCAAGGCATTGTTTAATGGAATACAAATGAATTTGTACGAAAAATAAAATTGTGCTCTCGTGTAAAACAGATCTCTTGCGTTACTACAGTTTTCTAGAATTTCAACAATATGTTTATATCTTCAGAGAAAGAAAAATGTTCAATGCAATAATTTTAAAAGACCATAACAAGCAAAAATTATTAAATATTTACTCTGAGATACCTACATCATGTAGCTTGAAATTTTACTTCATGAAGAATAAGTGATTAATACTTCATGAAACTACAAAATTGAAGAACGCTTTACAAACCTTTTATAAAAATGACAGTTTATAAGATGGTAGTGCTTTTTGACATATGTGAAATTGGTAGAAAAAGAAATTGAAAAAGTATCGATTAGACAGAAAGATTGTTAGTAAATTTCTGAAGAATACAACGTAATGATATATTTGAAATGTCGCAAAAAGAGGTTATGGGTAATTCTTGTTTAGCTACTAAAAGAAAGTTTGAAAAATCTGAAAAATTTGTTAGAATTTAAAAGAAAAGAATTGCACAGGAGAATTAGTTCAGTAATGTATATTCTGGAAGAAACTAAAATTCCATTGATTGTTTTTATCTCAAACATTAATTGTTATTCTTCAAAGATACTAAACAGAATTTAGGTACAAGGTAGCAATTATTAATAATTTAAAATTAAACTTTTTATTTGAAAATTGGGAGCAGTTTTAAGACAATGTTGTGTGACTTTTCTGTATATTTACAATTTTGCACCCATTTTCACAGACAACTTTTGAGTTTTTGAGAAATTTCATAAGAAATGATTCGAAGCACTTATACTTCATTTGGCACAACAACCTGATGTGGAGCTTGGCCTGCTCCTTTATTATGAGGTTTTTGAGGCTTCCAGTTCATGATTTGCAGGGTATTTTATTACAATTTCATTTTATATAGATATAATTTATTGCATTTGTAAGCAATAAATTATTATGTATATATGTAAAAAGTTTTTTTTAAATGCATGTAATGTAAACTTTTAATAATGTGAGAGATATTTTTTAAAAAAATGCATTTTAGTAATTTGTGAAAAATTAAAAGTTTACAGGAAAATGGCACTGATGACATCCTATTCAATGTATTTAGCTCTACCTGTACAAAAATTGTAAAGAGAAACTTTAGATCCGTTCTTGAGAAAATTTTGTTTTTAAAATTGTCCATATTACACTCAAAATTTTGCAAAAACAACTGATATTTTATAAAAAAAGTACATGGCGGCAGTGAAGGATCTAATTTTAAAGTTCAGATGTCATTGAGAAAAACAAATTATTTTTATCTACCACAGTTGTAACAGGGGGTCAAAAAGTCTTAACAATTGCAATTTTTGAAGATTCAGAGATAACAGTGAAAATCAGATCTATTCCATCTTTATATGTATATTTCACTGTTTAAAAGAAATGGAAAGAAAAACTTTGCAGCTGTTTTTGAGAAAAATTTGAAAATATCCCAGGGACCTCAGGTGAAGTTTTCCCAAAATTCAAAGAATTCATATCATGTGTATGGGGCCTTGAGTGTGGCCAGATTGATTGAGGAATATTCATTTTAGAAATATCCTATGAATAGTTTAAGTGCCGTGTTGTTCACAGACAAACTGATGTTTAGCAAAAGAAAAGAACAAACAAACTTGATAACAGGACCCCCAAAAAAAGGATTTCCATTAAAATCTAAAAATCACAATTGCTTAACTTTTTCTCATACTGTGTATATTACTCTACATATATGTATGTATATAAGGAAGTAAAAATTATATTTGAACAAAATTTGAGTGGAGCTAAGAGAAGAAAGTGAAGCTGTTGTGTTGATTATAGACTTTATTTATTATGAACTTTAGTTCTATTCAGCATCTTTTATTTCCTTAATTAGGAAACTCACTGGAATAAATTTATGAGCATTTACTGTAGTTAATTTTAACATTTATTGTAGTTAAGAACATTAAGAGATAGGGCAAAGTTTTGACAAGTTTTGCCAAATTTGCTGGTAATACAACATGATTGCCTAAATAAAAGTAGAAATAGCATTAGAAGAAGACTTATCTGTGTGAATGTGGTAGAAATGCATTATATTTATCAAATCTTCAATTCAAGTTAAGCTTCTGAATCCAGTGTGTTGTGTCTGCTCTTAACTCACTTGATGATGCTGGTTTGCCAATGTTATGGACATTCTCTCATTGCCATTTTCAGAATTGCGTTTAGAAGAATTGTGCCTTATTGCAGACATTAGGACTGCATTTCATAAAGTAACCAGTAACTTGACTTCCCAACACTGTAGCATCAACCACTGCCGGGGCTAGACAATTTTGGGTCTGGGGCAATGATGCAACGTAGCCCCCCCCTCCCCGCACACATGAAAAAATAAAAAATGTAAAAGTTGTATCAAGAAACTGTCATAAACAAACAAGAATATGTGTGTGTGTGTGTGTGTATATATATAATTTCAATGTACAACAAAATTACGATGTTCATCCTAGAAAAGGGTTTTGGAAATATATTTTAAATAATAGTTTTAAGTAAATGTATTTAGTGATCGTATAAAACGATTTCCATGATGAGCTAAAATGCTGAAAACTTTTATGTGTTTAGTTGGTGTTTAATAAAATTGCTTGTTGTTAAATACTTGAAATCATGAATAAGCATTTTAGTAGAACCTATTTTAATGTTAGCATCATTTGATTCATTTCATACAGTCCTACCTTATAAGTAATAACTAAGAGGTGTATTTTCAAGAAATGTTGTATTTTTCTTTTCACTTCAGAACAATGCTTTGTATTATACACATTAATTATATGTTGTGTCCAAAGCAAATGATCCATTTTTATGTGGCATTTTTGTCAATTTCTACTAAAGTCATTTTTTACCTTTGCCATTTTTAAAGCATTTTTTACTGATTTCATGGATTTAAATATCATTTTAACAGCACTTCCTACAAATAATAATTACAGGATGCAACAAATGTTCTCCATGGAATTACTCAGTAACCTATTCTTTTTTCAATTGTTTTTTGGTTTTTTATCCATCTCTACTTACGTCTTTGTTTGGTTGTGCACTTTTTTATACAACTCTAACATCTGAAAAGGAAATGAAATATTGAAATGTGAATTGTATTTCTGGAATACCTTTTACGTGTATTCATGTACATCAGCGTAAGATAATTGATAAACATAAATTACCTTGATCAAAATCACTTTTAACTTTATCAAATTATCAGAGAGAAGGATGTGAATGTTTAGGGTAGTATCTACATAAGGAGAAAACATTGTTATAGAATATAAAATTAGTTAAAATATAATTTATTTCAATGATTGTGCTTTATTATATTATATATTTCCTGTAGGGATACTAGTTATTTATAAATGCCTTTAATTTATATTAGATGTGCATCATTTGCTATAAATAATGTGTAAAACTTCTTTCATAATTTTGTACAAATTAGTAAAAATAGTAAGAATAACAATGATAATGCTGATAATAATAATAATAACAATAACAATAATAATAATAATAATAATAATAATAATAATAATAATAATCACAAATTTATTAATAATTGAATTGAATTTTTATTTCAACAAATAGTTCTTGGGACTTAACTTGTGTGTGTGCATTTACATTAATTTCTCGTGAAATAATAGTTTTCATATCATTTATTATGCATAGGTAAATAAAAGTTAACAATATCTAGTATCTGTAGGTTTCTGAGTCACCTCTGCTTCATCAAAATCATTTTCTTCTATGAAATTTTTAACTTGCTCATGAAGTTGTTGCAAAGTTATTTAATAATTTTATCATCGACATTACTAACAGTTTTTCTATTTAATGTGTTATTTATATCAGTCCATGTTACTATCATTCATATTATTTATACAGTTTCTTCTTAAAGGATTTTGTATTAGCATTTGTAATTTCATTATGAAGTCTATATATAAGTAAATCTAGTATAGTTTAATCTGGAATTTTTATTTTTTGGAGTAGATTTCCCTTTTTTAAAAGACTTTTTTCCCCTTTCATTTTAAGATAGAACTTATTAGTTACCCAATCTTTATATTTTGTTAATATACACACATTTTGAGTCGTATTACAGTTATTTCTAGAAACTATTTCTCTACAATCTTGTTACATGTTATTAAATTTGTTTGAGATATTATCCATGAAATTTTAACATCCTTGTTCATCCTCTGTTCGCAAACATATTGTTCTACAAGCAAATCCAATATTTTTTGGTCAATTTCATAGTATTCAAGAGTTACTACATCCTTTTTACTCCCATTGCCATTGGTACTAAGATAGCCTTTGATAGGATAATGGTCTGATACTTAGCTATGTATTACAACTGAGTATATTCATTTACATTTAGTTCTTATAAACATGTGGTCTATCAGAGTGGAGATAAGAACATTGTTTCTTATTTCTTCTCTTGTTGCAAATTCTATTGTGTTGACGTACCCAAGACAATATCACATGATTTCACAACTCAGTCCATTCTGTTCTGAAGATTAGCACCTTCTATAATTATTGCTGTGGATTCACAAGTATTACTTATAACACACTTTAGCTCTTTTAGATTAGTGTTAGGTGGCCTATATAAATATCATTTTTGTGGCCAGCTCGTACGTAGGCCAGTAAATATTTCCCATCATACATTCAAAAGCATCAGTCTTAATAATAGTAATAATAAAAATAATTTATACAATAATGTTTTTATGGTCGCGAATTGGCAGTCAAGGACTACGTTGGCGTCATACCGAGGCTCAGTAACTTTTATCCTGAGGCAAATGTATAAGACTCCCGTTTTGGAAGGATCAGCATTATACTCAATCCTATTTTTATTCTCCAAGGTTACTAGTCTTGGGGGGATGGAAGATAGAGTGATTATGATAATGAAGAATGAATGGACAACACAAACATACACAAACACACCCATGCTTGAGGTGGGACTCGAACCCGCAATCCTTTCCGCAATCCCTGCCTTAGCAATTTCGGCTACCTGGATCGGCTTTTTCAAAAAATTTTATTATCATCATTATTATTTATTATTATTATTATTATTATTTTGCATTGTTTGTGTCAAGAAAAAGTGAACTAGTTCTGATTTTCTTTCGGAAACGTGAATCATATATAGTAATCTTTTTAATTTATTTCATTTTTTAAGATAAGAATATGTTATTGGTAGTATTGCAGTTACTTATACACTTATAAGTTCCTGAACTATGTGAATTCCTATTAAACTAAAATTAAATGTGGCTAAATTTATTCAATTAATTATCGTGTATAGTCATAACTGATACATTTTTCATGCAGAGTAATGATAGGCCTATTTAAGGAAATCAGTATTCTATGAATGATGCTTAAATATTTGATGACTTGTACTAATTTTTTTTGTTTTTGTTTTTACATATTGTTTTCAGCTATTCATGAAAAAATCTTCATACTTTTTATGTTTGGATCTCTCAGTTACATGCTCGCCACAATAAAAGTTTTTAAATTGTTGAGACCAAATATGACTGAAACAGAGAAGACCTCTTATCTGTTCAAAAAGTGTCTTTTTATATTATCAATATGTTGCACTGTGGGTTTACTGATTTTTTTCCTGAAACATCGCCTGCTGTGCCATGAAATGGGTAAGATTAACGTATAGCATTTCCACATCTTAGCTAAAAAAATGTAAATTACATTTATTTTGATATTGAATACATGTCATAGTTTTCCATTGTAAATCATATTCCATTTTGCTCCACTCCTGCTTTTAATGTTTAATTTTTTCTTAAATACACTTAATTATCATTAATAATTAATATTTCCTTATAGATTAAAATTATTCTTTATGTCTTATACTTCTCTGATTTTCTGTTTTCAGCTTTCAGTTGGTTCTCATTGTGTGAATACTGTATTGCTTCAGCTAATATGGCATTTCATGTCACAGTGGTGCTAGACTTTCCAACTGAGAACTTGTTAGTGAAACGTGATCTGCCACTTGTGAATGTTAATGCTGATAATGAAATTGTGCATCTCAAGGAAAACTAGTATTTTATGTTATTCATAATTTTAAGATATTAGCAACTATGCTAATTAGAAGCACTGCCAAGGCTTGCTAGGCAGGATGCGCAAAGCACAAATTTTGAAATATTAACCCTTTTTCCAAAGTGGTGATCAAGAAACTAAGTATATTGTGTAAAACTGCTGAAAGCTTTTGAAAACTAAAATGAATGTAATAATATATTACTTAACTCGAGTGAGAAAGAAACTTATTTCTCTCTGTTATTTTCTTGTAAATCATTAAGTATGCTTAGCAATTTAGTTGTAATTATAATAATATTGAATTCCAGGTGAAAAGTTTGATTCAAGTTGGTAACATCTTTTATTGTAGTTATGAATTCCATTTCAATGCCAAATTCCTGCCATAGCAAGTCGGCATGCACAATAGACATTTTGAGATTTTGACATTTTTAGGAGTATCTGCACAGTACTTATGCAATATGGATACAAGATTAGAGAAAGTATTTTTGAGTACTTTCAGTAAGGAATGATTGTTACTCGCATATCAGAATCAGAAAAGGCATTAATATAATGGAACTGATTTATTTATTTATTTATTTACTTTTGTGTTTGCTTTCAAAACAGGATGTGCAGTTGTTTGTACACACTTTTGTTGGTTCAATATTCTTATGATTCATATTAGAAATATCTTTAATCTTAAAATCCAACTTGTTTTAGGAAACCTGTAAGGGAGGTGAAGCTGATGCTTATTTGAGCATCAGGTTGCAAAACTAATCAAATGATATTTCATTTGGTTTACTCATGATTGATAGGAGACTGTTCATAAAAGCTAGTCATTGCTTTTTATACATTTTATTTTTGAACCTTTTAAAACATTTATTTTTACATATTTATTGATGCTTTGTACCAAAGTACTCATTCTGTTGAATGTTAATGTTATTCTGTTAGTTGTTTGTGAAAATGTATTATTAAGTATAAAATGTAATTTTTCTAAAGTACATGCAGATAAATATTTTTTCTGCATTTTATTGCATTTACTTCATTTAATTTATTGGGCATTGTTACAATTCTCTTTGATTCTTTGTTAAAAAGAGGTACAAAACAAATTGTTAATGGTTGTAATGAATAGAACATTTTTTAATAATTATTTAAAATTTGATACTGAGCTTGAAAGGAAATTATAATTTCATTCCACATTTAATCTGTAGATGAAAAATATTTTTAAAAAAATAATTTATTTGCAATTAATGCTTTAATTTCACATTTTTGCGGTTCAATAATGGTTGATCTGTTGAGGAAGAAATGTTTTTGAACTTTGATACTTGAGCGAGATTTATGGAAATAAACTGATAAGATCATTTGATGAAATAATCTAGGAAATAGCAGCTGCCTTTATTCGAAATAGAAGCAGTTTTAGTTACGTGCAGCTGTTCATGTTGCCTTTTGGAGATGCAGTAAACTTGAAGAAGCTTTATAAAATGCATTATAATGTAGTAATGTTAAAACAGCACAGCATACAGAGGTATTAGTACCAGGGTATGTTGTTGTAGCTCATACGTTTGTAGTTGGTAAGAATGATTTTGATTAATTTTTGATCAAAATAATGGCATAGTGAACAAATGTGTACAGTACCTACACTCTTCAGGATGTTTTTGTGGGAGTTTACACGTAGTTAATTGCATTCAATATAAAGAAAATACTCCACAAAAACATACATCTAGAAATTAAGCATTTCATTTATATATACTGTACAGGTGGAATAATTTTTTTTAAGTTAAATGAAACAGCACAAGTTTACACATTTGGGCACTATGTTAAAAAAATAAACTTCACATTTGTTCTGATTTTTAAAGTATTCAAAGCCTATTTATTGTGATAAGTTGGTTAATTGCAAATTGCTGTTTGAGAGTGTTTATAAGAAAATTTGAACATCAAGACAATGAACAGCTTTCACAGATAGGCTTAATTTTATGTGCCTAAATAACATAAAATTGTTTTAATAAGAGGTGATACAGAATACTGAAGTAAGATATTACTATTAAAGCTTAAGTAACCATATTTTACAAAACTAATATTACCTATTAAGACTAACAGACACTAGTCAGTTGATATGCAATAGAAGTCATAGAGTTAGGCTCAGTTAATGAAACTAGACAATTGAGATTTGAAAATAATAGCATTCAAATCTTGCACATGAAGTGATCTATGAATTATATTTATGTCAAGTAATTTTTATATTTAAAAAAGTTATTTTTTTAGAAAGTCATTTTGTTCATATAACAAAATTTGCTCTTTAATCCATTCTCACTGCTATATGCCCTTGTATTCTGAATTTTCCTGGTTCAATGCATAGCTGTACTTTCCTTGCAATTTACTCTTTTATTTAATTTTTTATATTGGAAACCTTGCTTGTAAAAAAATAGATAATGCAAGGAATAGTTTTGTCATTTGAGTATTAGAAGTAAGGATTTTGGGTAATAACCAGACTACTGTTGGATAATATACACTTAGTCTTCAATCTTTCTCACATGCTTTGCTCTGCTTTGAGAAAATAAACATGTTTGTCAATTTTTTTAAAAAATCTATTGCATCAATACAGTCAAAGTATATTTCAGAGAAACTCTTTTACAGGAATCTTTTCAAGATACACGGTGCATGTTATCACTTATGGTAGATAAACATCACAATGCTGTTATTGTGATGATCATATCAATGTGGTTGTACCTGTGCAGTTAAATAATATTAAGTTGTACTGTCCTGCAGTTTATTACAAATATAGCTTGTCAAAAGAATTAATACTGTACAGTGCAACAGTCATAAAATATAATTTTAATGAGTGAGAAAACAAGAATCCTTTTGCGGGTCAAAAGGTGAATATGTATGAGAATGAAATTTCATTATGACATGAAATGATTACTCTTAAGTATGTTTATTCAGGTACAAAAGCTGTAACAATGCACTGGTAACTATGCATTGTTATTTGATGAAGTTCCTTGAAATTTTATGTGCATTTTATTGGCTTGTAATGCATTTCTCTTAACATCTCTTTAATGGAACTTGCATCATTTTATATGTCAATTTGAGAGTTTACAAAAAGTCTGTTGTACCAGTGTTGCTTTGCTGAGTAGGTTTTAACTGCATTGGAATGATTTCCTTGGTCAGCATGCTTTAGACATCAATACTTGTAGTGAAACTTTTCTAATGTGTAGAAATTAACTGTAACAGCAACACAGGCATATTTTACAGACACTGTGATCATTTGTACATTTCTATACCTTCTTTTTCATCTAAACGTTTTATTAATCCTGATCTGCTCGTTAGAAAGTAATAATTTTGAAACATTAAGTTGTAGCAGCTTAGACACAAATTTAGAATGTAATAACATACTTAAACACAGTGTTTCTCAATAAATGAGTTAATAATTTAATGAATAATGCCTCTATTTGCATAAGACTTTGGCCAAAATATAGTGTTCAAAGATAGGAGATGTTGGTTTTCAATGTAGGATAACTTTTATATTTGCTAAATATTGCTCTAGAAATTAGAGGAAATCCAAGATCTCCAAAGAAATGTCGCCAGAGAGTTGAGAAACACTGTTCAAAAAGCTTTTTTATAAATAATACTCTCACAACTTAATAGAATTGCAAAAATCTGTCTACCTTTTGTCATAATCTCTGTATTACTGATCTCTAAGAATGAAAACATCTTTATTATCAATTTATTTCTTGCACATATCATGTTCATGATTGTTTTCATTTTTGTAGAGATATTTTATGTATCTATTTGTATGGTGTTTAATTAGTATTCCAAGTTTTAAGCAGGCTACGATGCATGCATAGGAAGCACGTATCTGTGCATTTCCAGCAATATATACTGACAAGTAGAGAATTCCATGCTGTTCTTTATAGTAAAACTGTGTTGTTGTTTTTTTGTAATAACATCTGATTTTTATAAATTTCTTTTTTGAGACTTCTGATTGTTCCTGTACGTATAATTGGTTTAATACAAAATGTTTGCTATAATTTCAGGAACTGTGACAAGATTCTGTTGAGAACATGGAATCAATAATATTGTGACAATTTTCAAATTAAACATCAAGAATTCAATGTGCAAGTTGTATTTTTTTTATCTGAATCCTTCCAGGAAATTCCATGAATTTAGAAAAACCCAGATGTTAAGTTTTATGAAAATTGAATTATTCTTGTAAATAATGCTTTCCAAGCTTGTGACAATTCATTAAAAGAAATCTCACTTTGAAAATATCCCAGCCTTTCAATTGTTTCGCATATATCTGACCAATCTGTCAAATGTATCAAAAATATGAATGTAAAAGCATAACATGATATTGACAAGTGATTTGAAGAACTATGCATCATAAGCTAATAAGTACTACACTAAATAGTTTTGTGCTAAAATATGAATCAAAAGTTAATAAAGAAATATTTGAGTCAAAATATGTACCACAAATATTTACAGTTTGCTGATTCCAATTTTTTTAAGTTAGAAAATTAAATAAGTAAAAAAATAAATTCCCAAAGATATAAAAAGCTTTTCTAAACTATAGAACTTATTATTTTAAATAAGATACTGGCTTCATCGACTACTTATCAGTGTGTCAAATTGCACAATATCAAGTGGGGTTGACATGTCTGCATTAGTGATCTATGTCAATCTGAGATGAAACAGATTGAAGTAAAAAATATATAGCTTGTTTACTTGTAGCGTATTGCAGATTATGAAAAATTACAGATTCTTCATGCCCTAAATCTTTCATTTACGTTTTCTATATTGTTTCTTTAAAAAGAATAAGTGGAATCACCAAAATTTCACAACCATTTGTAGGAGGAAAATCTTGGAAGCTGCTTATCACAAGTATGATAATAAGCAACTCTTGTAATTAAAACTGCTTATTTAACTTTTCATAGCTAAATGTCGAATTTGTAGCAAAAATAGCAGGTTTTTAAGATTTTATTTTTTGAGGTACTGAAAGAAAAAAAAAACTTACTTGTTCATAACAGCGGCGTGGTAAATTCGCCCGCATCCATTTCTGGAATTCCAAGAACGAAACAAAACAATATATTTTCTTTCTGTCTACGTCTGTCTACGTCTGTCTACGTCTGTAATGCTGAGATTCCTCTTAAGGAATCTCCCGAGTTCCTCCGATAAAATGTTACTATTCGTAATAAGTGCACGCAGGTGAGATGCTCAACAATTTGAGGAGGGCAGAGAATGATTTTAATAAAGAATGCATATTTATAGCTGTACCAAGAAGAAAGGAATCTGATATCTGAGACAATATCTTTACGCGTCGCTTTTATCGATAATACGCTCCCACGTGGAAGTTGTTTGAAGAATAAATGATACGCAATTTAAAAGTAATTCCATTGAAAGCAATATCAAAAGATGTCAGGACCTTTTTCTAATTCTAATCAATTCTCTTAAAATACTCTGATGGATTATAATGTAATTTAATATAGACATATCCAGTAAATTAAACTTTCAGCATGATCATGATTTATGCAGTCGGGCTACAGAAAAATGACTGAAAATTTACTTCTTCCTTATTACAATGAAGCAAAAGAGATAAGATTATTTTTAGCGAACTGTCTTTAATCTAACACAAAAGTAATGTAGAAATTTGTTTATACATTCGCACATCATCCCGAGTGATGAATGAAACACGGATGAACTAATTTTATGCGATTATTTTTGCGATTTTTTCACCATTTCAGCTTTACCTTTCTACCTTCGACTGGATCCCTACCAGGACGTTCGACCCGTATTTCAAAATAACCACCGAAACGGACCAGTGACGAAGCCACCAATATACGCACGCAAACCTTTGTGTGTGTGACGTGGTGGGGAGAAGAGTGGGGATAACCAAGCGGTGGATCAGACTCCAGTTTCTCCTCGAGGTAGCTTGTGACACCATATGCGCGAAACATCTGCGCAGTAGTTCTGTGCGTTGTCTGGATTCTTTGTGCCATTCTTGGCATACCAAAATCAGACTTACTCTTCATATTTACGGACCAAATACCGTCCTAATTTCCACCAAACTCGCCGAGAAGGCGTCTAACTTTCCCTCAGGTGAGTAGTTCACGTTCTGGTGTCATTTTCATACATTACATAAAGTGTTTACGTAGAAATAGGTGCTAGAATGCAAGCAATGTGATCGCGATTCCTCCAATACTTTACATACTTGTCATGTTTGCCACTACGAACTTCCGGCGACAGGGAGATCGTGTGTACTTGCAAGTGAGTTGTGACGAAACGTGGTTTTCGCGCATGTCAGATCGTTTCAGAGAAAATACCGTGTGCTGTTTTAGTGTTTATTGATCGTGGTGTAAAGCGATGTTAAGTGTGGTGAGCAGATTTTAAGTGTGCGGCAAATGAGAGAATTGAGGGGTTAGTGCACTGTAAGGGAAGCATGCTTTTCAATCATAACATAAACATTGCATTGTGTTGAAAAAGTGTTTGTGCCTGATACATCTTCCAGGGAAGATTTTTATGTTTAATTGCATACATGTGACTGCAAAGGGATTTTGAATTGCTGTGTAAAGTTATAAAATAATTGTCACATAGTGTCAGTTGTTTATTGAAGAATTTATAGCAAGTAAGTGCGTGTTTATTTAATATCTCTATTAAAATTGTTGTAAAGTGCGGAGTTGTAATATCTTTACTGAGAAAGTACGAAAATATACATTCTCGAGATACAGAAGCGTGGTTTCAAGAAAGTAGAATCGCTATGTGAACGAAAGTGAATAGTTGTCACGTGTAGTATGCATGTGTGCATGTTTAGGTGTTATTCATAGGATACAGGAATGTATTTGAAATAAGTGAAATGTAAACATCAACATTGGTTTTGAAGATCGTGAACTGTTTACCTGTACGTCGAGTTGTGTGTTGTGCCTCTGTCAAGTAATTAATACTCTGTGCATGGTTTAACAAAATCGCCCGTTTTAATTTTTTTATATGTTGTGTCGTGTGCATGATCGGGGTGTATTATTACTGTGTTTCATTTCGATGGACCATTCCATGTATATCTTACGTTCCACTGGGTTTTGCATCCGCCTCTTGTAGCCCTGGCAGCATTCGTAGTTATCTTTAGCAGAAAGCAAGTGAGAGCCAGAGGTTATTTTTAGGGGATAGGGCGAAGCAGACTCTCGAGCTAAACCTTACCGCTTTCAAACATCGAAGAGTCGGAAGTGGTTTATTCGTGAAAAGGCAAGGTGGCGTGGTCTTTCAGTTTTATAAAATTTCCCGCTTGTTTTCGTGCGCACGACAGTCGTATGGAGCAGAGGTGGGGATGGCTCGAATCTGAACAGAAAAAGTGCTTATTTCATTAAGGATTACCGTATTCACATTGGCCCATATTATTGCTGACACATTTCCGTGATAATAAAATGCATATATTTCTGTGATTGCTGACACGTTTCTGTGATTTTAAAAAGAGCATTACGTTAGAGGTGACGCTATCTTTATTAAAAAAAAATGTCTCCTTCAATTTCGGATATTATTGCAATATAATGTTTACTCCCATGCTTGTAGTGCAACTACATTCTTGTTTCCGACGGCCTTAGTTTTATTGTAATTGGATGTAAGAGCTTTGACAATTAGCGTTATCATTTAAACAAAACTGTCAGGCATTGTTTCGGAGTGTAGCTTGTCACATCTGAAGTGGGGGAGTCATAAAAACGGATCGCAAGAGTTCCCAGACGCAAACTGCCTCTCCGGAGCGACCGGGAGGCGGCGACTGCGGCGGCGGCGGCAGCAGCAGCGACGCGCGCGACCGCCGCCGTTCGCGCGTTCTCTTGCCGGCGTTCACCGCTCGGACACCGCGTCGCCGCCGCAACAGCACAATGCCCGGTGACGTAGTGCCTTCTCGATGGATTGCGTCGAGTTTTATGGTCCCTACGTTTCTCGACCATTGTTTTCGGAGCGAGTTGAAAGGTTCGCCGGCATTCCAGGGATGACTGTGACCGTCTGGAGTATGCTAACGATGCTGACGCCGAGCCTTGTCCTTCCACCGCTTATTGTTCTGCTCGGCCGTCCGCGCGCGCGCTCGGGTCGGTGAGAACGGGGCGTTTCGTTTTGTGCTTTTTATATGATATGTCGTTTTTTTTTCTCGTCCTCTGTTTGGTGTGCTCGCCGGGCGGGAAGAAGAGACAAAGGGATGGCGAGCGTTCGGGATTTGACGATACCCGGAGGGGTGGGGCAAGTTTTTGTGTGGGTTTTACCAAACCAAGGTCGGCCAGGGAGAGGAGAGAGTGGGGGAGTGAGAGACGGAGAAAGAGGGACGTGGGATCCGGCGAGGAGCCGTAAAGGAGTCATGTTCAAGCGAGTGGCCTCAGTCTGGTGCCGGTACAGACGATATTTTTTCAATTTACTCTTACGAATGTAATTGAACTTTCACTTATTCGCAGTAAATTTGAAGTAAACTTTTATGCACCATTTCGTCTTAGCAACTGCACGGTTTTTTCCGCAAAGGAACTATTTTGAACCATGAGGATGGTATGCTGATTTGAAAACATCTATTGTAAACGCTGTGAACACGTATTCAAATATCGTGTGTTGAGTACCACTGAGCAGCATTGGCGATGACGCCGTGCACCCGGGGGTAGCTCCTGGCCTTCCAGAGGCGGATGCAACAAGTTGGCGAGCGCAGCGCAGCACAGCGCCCGGCGCGGCGCCGCGCCCCACGATCGCGTTGCTTCCGGCGGCAGTGCGGCGCCCCCGACTTTTCACCCTCGCGGCGCGCGCGCGGACTGCTCGCTCGCTCGCTCGCCCATCCGCCCCTGGCCCCCCAAGTCATTTACGTGTAAATCGTGAATGAAATTTGTGCTAATCTCGCACAGATTCGCGCGCGGGTGGCCGCCCACCCTCTTCTCCCGGGGTTCCCGTCCCGCTGTTTGCGCCCTCGTCGCAGCGCCTTTCCCGACCCCCCCTGTGCCCCTCCCCTTGGATTCCGCGTCGCGTTCCCCTTCTCCCGACGGCGACATTAGCATATCCTGTTTCCTTTCCTCTCGTCGGGGTGCGCGGGTGGCTGCCCCTGCTGGCTGTGTTTAGGGCGCTCAATTGACCAATACATGATTTGAATTGTTGTGGAGTTAGCCATCTTCCATATTTTGAAGATATATTATTTGATAGCATTTGCTTGCACCTAGCATCGACGTTTGCTCCTTTTGTGGGGCTTTGGAAATGGGAGTGATTATATTAGTGACAGTGACGGTATTTTGAAAGGGGAATCAGGGAAAGGGCGAAATAAGTAAAGTTAAAAACAATATAAAGAACGAAATGCTGTTTAAACAAACTCGTTTGAGCCTTTATTTAAACTTGAAAATTAAATATCTTCTCTCTTATATTGGTCCTCATTACATTCCGTTAAATCAATTATTTTTTTGGCGTAAAGCTACTCGCGCATTGAGTCGGCACAGCGCCGATGGACGGGGCGGGACGGGCGCGTG